AATTACGGTAGCCATAAAATATATGTGCGACGAATATAATGGCCGCACATTTCGTGGATCGCATACAAAACCACCGAATTAAAAATATAACTTTATGGCAAACACAGATAAATAATGGGCAGTCGAGATGATATTTTTATTTTCGGTTTTTACATCCAAAGTCTATCCAGTGTTAATCGGGCATCAATGCAAGTGAAATGAGGATTTGAGCCCATTTATCTAAGGCTATTATCAAGATCAAAATCAAAACTAACTAACGCAATCCTTTTCGGGTATTTTTTTCATCATTGTCTTTCTCTCTCTCTACAGAGTAAAATCGCAACGATTAAGATCATGTAGGTATTCATGATAGACATTTTTTTAACGTAAACAGAACGATACAATTGAAGATCAGCCAGATATCTTTTACAGAAGCACATCCGCAATATCTAACCGCTATTGACACGGTCCGTGCCTCTGTCGCTATGTACGCGTATGCCGATGCCACAGCAGCAGCAGCAGCAGCCGTGTGTGCCATGAGAGACAAAGCAACTGGCTTTGAATTACGAATCTATTTGCAAACGATAACATTTTCCACTTTTCGACGCACGTACTGAACACAACTCACAACAACTCACGTTTGCCGACACCACTGCCGAAATGGATAATGCAACCAGAAATTGTTTTTCGTCGGTGTCAGTTCACTTTTGAACCTAGAATCGTTCGCATCGTAAATGTACCATTCTGCGGCCGGAATTAACCGACAAACGTTGACACACGAACTTCTATCAGGCGAAAGGAACAGATAAGAGAGATAGAAGAAGGAAAAAAAAATTCAAAGTGAAGCAATAAATCAGTGACAAAATTGTTTGTAATAAAACCTGACTCAAAAACTTGTTTCGATTATTGATATTGTTGAAATTTATGTTTGGAAAAAGTTTGGAATTTCGATTTTTTTCGAAATTTCTTTTATCAATAAATAAGTGATGTTCATTGTATGTACAAAACATTGCGACAAAAAAAGAGAAAAAAAATGCTTCGAAATATTGGAATGCATCTGTTGATGTTTGGTAAAATTCCAACCAAAGCAGTTTCTATTGAAATCATTTAAACTGCATGGAATGGCATGCTGTCGATCTGAAACAATTTATAGCCGTTGGAATTTCCGTGAAAATACTTCAAAATGCTGAATGGTAATGGAATACCATGAAACTCAAAATATGTTGATGTTCGGTTAGCATTTGAATCAAGATATTTACTAGTTATAAACAGATTACATTGCTTCGAGTTATTCAAAGATGGCAGTTCATCAATGTCCAGCTATTCAGATCGTAAATGCGCGATCTTTATTTTCGTTATATAGTTTCTAATGTTGTTATGAGCTAGCCAATTGTATGCTGCCCGTCGGCTTCGGGGCAATAAAAGCTAAAAACGAGAAGAAGAAACCCAGTAAATTGAATATAATTTTCCAGTGAAAATAGCAAATAAGAGAGCAAGAGAGAGAAAGAGAGAGAGAGAGCTAAAGCTTTCCGGCAAGCAATTTGATAATAAATATAATGGCAAGTTTCATTCCCAAAACAATAGTCGAATTTATAATTATTTTAATTTGCATTTCATTAAAAAGTTGTTGGTGAAAGTACAAAAGCGTAGCGGCATACATCCATTTGTGTGTGTGGTGGTTTCGGCAAATTGTTCGCATAGGGGGATGTCTCGTCGTTGCCGCCGATGTTGTTTATTGTGCTTGAATTATAGTTGTACGTGTCTGAGGTTCCTCTGCAAATCGTATACACATCGCAAGTGAGGGACAGGGAGCGAAAGGAAAGGAGTGAGAGAGAGCGAAAGAGTGAGAGGGAGATCACAAGAGGGAAAAGAAGAGAGTGGAAGAATGAGAGGGAGAGAATGAAGAGAACATTCAGGCTGTAAAGAGAATAAAGACGATTTTGATGGAAAGAGATGGCGAAAATTTGGGGCAAAATAGCGCCACAAATGAACTTATGAATAGTAGTAGTTTTGAAAGCAGCACGCATTCAAAATGCGAATTTTACATTCATTGTACTTGTCGATGCACATCCATACACAATATGCAAACCGAGATAGAAAGAGAGAAGGCCTGAACTTGATGAAAAAGGAAACCGGATAGATTGTTTGGTCGGATACACTGAAATGTATGCACAAATTTGCGAATTGAAACCTACCGAAATGTCACAATTGCAACTGAAAATTTACTCGCATCAAAGTGATATAGAGTCATTGCATAAAACCTCCGTCCCCCTCCACATTTGCTATGAGAATCATGCCGCATTGCTCAGCACTAACCGATTTCGAACGTTTCAAACTACAAACACTTATATTGATGTATGCATAAATGTCGTCGTAAATTTGTGAGTTTGACCGCAAATTTTCCCATCCGCACACATATGTTATTATTGTGAACGTCGAACAGGATATAGGGAGAGTCATGCATTGTGGCTGGTTGCCGGCATTTTATCCTTCCATTCTCTCATTCGATGCACTATGTCCGACGGCATGCACCACAACTGGCCGAGTTTTGACTATAGAGTGAATAATTTCAATGAGATATTTGTGTGATAACATTCATCACGACACAACTATCGTACAAATTCAATCTTTTATTCGGTGCAGAATGTGTTCCATTAGCATTTATGCAGTAGTTGCACATATAAAATATTTGTTTTCATCTAATTGGTGTTTTGCTCCACACAACCGTTCGCCATGGTATCAAAACCCTACAAAAGCTCCATCCACTCTCTCTCTCTCTCGCTGGCTCTCTTTTTCTCACCCTCGTCGGCTCGCATATATGCCAAATGACAGTGGAAAATATGCACTTTTACACGAGTTTCAAACGTTTTTTGAACATTTGCCGGCAAACAACCACGAACGCAAGAACAACAACAGCAACAAGACGAGAAAAAAAACGAATTGGCAAACGGGGCAGATAGTCGAGATTCCGTAATTCACGAGCGAAAAGCATCATATATACGTAAACCCTTTTCGGATGGCCATTTCAAAATTGTTTAGCCTGTTTTAATCCGTTGATTGCATAAAAATATTTTCCAGTCCATGTTTTTCTCGCTCGCTCGCTCGCTCTCTCTCTCTCTCTCTCTCTCTCTCTCTCTCTCTCGATCCATCGCCAACATTCCATTCGATATACGGGCTATGTGGAACAGCAATTGTTTTTGATACGTGCACTTTTAACGAACAAAAATAAAATTACGTTATTCCAACTATGATGGAAATCTGAATGCGCTTCTGCCGACGGAATATATATTTTTTTCATTCTCTCCCTTAAACATCGCCAGATTGCCATTTTCCATAAAAGCACGGTATTTTTGTTCACGCCGCTTTACATACAACCAAAATTGGATCATTTGTAGCACAACTGAAGCTCGACTTTTGTATTTCGTTCAAATCACGTTTTCCATTCAAAAAGTGCTTACACTTTCATTTTTTCTCCGGTTGCCTTTTTTGTCTGCAGCAAAAAAAGGAGTAGAGAATAAAGCTCAAATTAATTCATGGTGTCCATGTGTGTGTGCAGATACCAAAAAACTACAGCTGTGTATTAGACATGTATGTATAATGTCACCACCGTAACCGAGACGAACGTGAATAATTAAGCATGGAAACACCATCGAATCGAGCATATACGAAATTCGGGTAATTCAATTCGAAAATGACAAGTCGACCATTTGCGGTTTGGCTGCCACAAGACATTTCGGTCAAACTCTCTCTCTCTCTCTCTCTCTCTTTCAAACATTCGAGTCCAACGAAATAGTTGTGTGGCATATTTATTTGGAAACTTTGTGCAAATTCGCATTTCAATTTTGTAAATTGAATTCCCCCAAAAACTTTTGCCGTCCAAACCGAAAGTATGCGATAACGAATGTGCCGGGCAAATTGGATCGACTAATGTGCTGCTATGCTAATACGAATAAACTGAAATTGTCCAACCGAAATTAATACCACCTCCTCCACACACACACACACACATACTACAAATCACTCGAATAGTTTGAATAAATTTTGGGCAAGAAAAATGCCATCACGAACGGAAAAAACAACAGTGAGAGTCGCTCTCTCTCTTAATTTGGGGAGTGCGTCAAAAATAAATCACAGATTACTGCATAATAAATAGGATTGTGATTTTCGTGACAGTCAAATTAATCGCGATGTAAATGTTCATACACACACATGCAACTGAATAAAAACGCACACACACACACACACACACACACACTAACGCACAAGTACAATGGGCTTTGCATCCGATTAAGCGTTTCGCTGCATAAAAGCCCATTATTGTTTTAATTATGTAATGAAAATCTCGGTGCAGCAGTGCATTCATTTATGTTGGAACAAGCAACACTGTATGCAATTATAAATCAATGTTTTTGGTTTGGTTTGGTTTGGTTGTTATATCGTCACACATATGTCGCGATGCTCGTTTATTTTTGTACTCGTGTGTGTCTGTGTGCATTTACGAAAAGAGCAACTTCATAATCGAAACACAGTGGGTGTGCGCTTTAATTCAATGCTCGAGAGTCGAATTTCCACAGCGGATAGGGATAGTAGATAGCGGTACAGAGACATTGGCAAACTACACGGCAAATTTGTAACCCATCGGTTCGGTGTTGGGTCAAAAGTGTACGGGATATAAACTAAAGTATAATTTGTCCATAAATATCAATAATAAGCGATGGAATCAAACGGAAAATAGCAAACCAGCGGCCGCAAATCGAACACATTTTCACATACATACAGACACACAGTCACATCTATTGGGCGCCAATTTCGAAACCCCACAGCACCAGAGTATCCTATCAATTGTTGGAACGTAGTTGGAGAGAGCGTCGAGCACGTATTTACCAGTGATAAAATATGAATGCAATCCGATATTATTCGTGTGCAGTGTTGGCGCTGTGTTTTCAATTATCATGCTCGTTGGGTGAGTATTACCTACAGCCACCTCAATATTTCTCTCTCTCATCAATTTAGACAATCCCCAATTCAATACTTGTAATTGCTTTCTGTTCTCTCTCCGCTTCACGGATTTTTATTTCACAGTTTCATTTATATATTTTTTCCCCGTTCTTCTCTCGCCGCCGGTTGCTATCTCTTTCGATCATCGAAAACCCATTTAAAATGATATCAATCGGGCCGAGTACTTCTTTTTATTTGCTCTTTGTATTTGTTCAATGTTTTTGTGTGTTTTTCCATTTATTCTTCTGACGTTTTAAACTTAATTTGCGAAATAGTAATAACAAAATAAATACACACAGGATTCAGCATCCAGTTCGGTGTATCGATAGAACGGGCCGAGCCGAAAATAAACAAGTGAACGAAGAATTTCAGCGGTTCTATTCGCACCGCGAAATTTTCGACTGCCATGGATTTTATGCGCTTCATTCACTTCGCTAGAATTTAATTTAATTGTAATTTATTTCCATTTGATTGCCCGGTGTATTATCCCATCCTTCCCCTCCGCTCTTTTGTTTCGTCTGTTATTTTCTGTCTATTGGAATGCATTTTCATTGGAAAATAGCAACAATAAGCTCGCCTTTTTAATCTGGTCACGAATACAATGTGGCTTCATCTCTCTTTTGTGCATCAACAATGTGAATTCACTGAATAAACCCATTTTTTTAATGTCCATTTGGCGTGTATTTTGTTATATCATTTGTCTCGTTAATTCTTCCGCATCAATTCGCATTTAATTAAATTTCAAAAGTGGAATTCACCGAGAGAGAAAAAGAAGAACGAAAACAGAAATGCGAAACCAAAGTTGTGCCATTAAAAAAGCTTTTTCGGCTACAATTAAAAAAAATTTCATCTCGGTTTCATCGGTAAAAAGCCATTAAAATCAATTGTAGATGTTCACATTAAATCGTCCACTTTGAAAACTTTGATGAGCGAACGCAAACCACCGAAAAGTGCACACGATGAATGATGATGAGGAGGATGATGGCATGAGGCATTCAACTTGTTTTTGGTAAAAGAGTAACTTTTTGAAGTAGTCCATTTAAAATTTATTGCTTCGACTTTGTGTCGTGGGCACCGTGTGGCAGCAGCAATGAAAAGCCAATTGATTTGTCTTTTCGTTTTTGAGACGAATTGGGGAAAAGTTTTGTGCCGAGCCTACTTCTCGGTTTTTCGGAGGGTTTTTATTGCAATACACCGCAGTAAAATGTTTGGACTGAATTTTAATTGATTTAATGTTTGGATGGGAGGAAAATGGTTTCAAGTTGAATGAGTTCTCATATCCAACTCCCAACTGATTTACTGTACGTAATTTTTCATTTTGTAAATAGTCGTCGCTCCGGTTCTGAGAAAGAGATCGAGAGTGAGAAAGTGAAACGGAGAAACTGAAACATAGAAAGAGAACGAAATGAACGAGCGAGAGAGAAAGTCCCAATTTTGTTTGATAGAAAATTAGCGGCGCAATGAGGCGAAGCGCTTCCAACTTTTTCACTTGAAACTTTCGAATATTTGCTATAACTTGAAATATGAATGTGCATGACTTTGGCTCAATTTTAAAATATGCTCATTGGCAAAGTCACTCGTATGCGCGCGCCCGGAATATCAAACAAACGCACAATTAACGAAAATTACGAAAAATGCACGTGAAATTTGTGCAGACGTAAAGTGTTCCAACTTTTTGAAGTGCTCCGTATTTTTCTACTTTGTGTGCAAATGCGCTCACACGGCGAATAAATATTTGGCTACGAAATGCAGAGAAAATTCGCTTCAATGCGTTCGACAGCCACCAAGACTCTCTACACAAAATTTCTACAGTTTTCTCTCTTTTTCCCGAGCTAAGAGATATTCGCTTTGGTTCCGCATTTTTCCGTTGCATAATTCGGGTTTTCAGCTTCCGGTTCGGTTGGATCATTCGTTTCGTTTTGTTTGTTCATTCAATACCAGAAAATTCATCATGCATTCAGACGTCAGTGGGCTGTGAAATTGGTAAAAGCTGTTTGGGTGCAATTTCTTCTCCACTTATTTTCCATCGTCTTAAATAAACACTTTTTGTCTTATGATGACTCTGGAAAAATCGACGTATTCCCAAATGGGATTAAGTTGTGTGCCACCCGTACGTCAAATCATTCGAAAGAAGAAAATGGGGAATTGAACGGAGCAAACATCGTTGAGTGGCGATGACGAAGACGGTGGCTGGCAAATGGAAAGGAAAGTTTCCATTTCCGTTCGGCCGCACCGATGTTTGCTTTCACCAAGTGGCGCGCCGAATTCAAGTACTCCTAATGAGGCAATTTCTTGACGCATCTCAATTTAAACGCTCTCCTCTCTCCGTTTTAAATGTATTTCTTTTATTGGCTGAGCAAAAATATCAAACGTTATTTTGAACCAAAGTCGGGAAGTGATAAATGGTTAATTTTAGAAAAAAAAAATTGTCCAAAAATTGAAAACAGAAGTAAAAACTCCATACATGATCGGTTATACATGTACCACACACTGTGTGCAACGTGCATTGGCTCGAAGTAAATGAACGTATCGAAATGTGCATGCGGCATAAAACCGATAGATGTTTTCCATTTGTACAATTCGGAAAGCAACTGATAATCATGCATATTGATGTGGTTTGAATGTAGTACATGTGTTCCTGGGTCGCTTGTACTGCAACCGAGATGCCATACAAGTACATGCTTATTCAATTTTATTCGATGCACTTAAGCCCCTCATTCAACGCCATTTTCTTTCTTCCATGCACTTTCCGTATGCCTTTCTCTCTCTCTCTCTATCTCTCTCTCTATCTCTCTTCCATTCTTGTTCTCTCTCTTCATATTCCGTATATTATATTATTTCTTGGCATTTTCCTTTGGCTTCGAAATCGAATCGAATACGTATGTGCAAAAGACAAGGAGCAACATCAGCATCAGCTCGAATATTACACATCTTCGTTTAAATCTGATACCGACCGCTTTTCTGGAGCAATTGAATTCAGTTCGAGTGTGCCATTAAATAAAGTTAATATGCTGTTGCAATCAAACACTTATCTTTTAGTGTTACTAACATGTCGTTTGCTTAAAAGCATTTCACACTTGTGCTTGAACTTGTACGACCACTTACATCATCTTTGTCGCTCTCTCGTGCTCACTTTTCCTGCGTGACAAAGAAGTGGTTAACAGAGTGTCGATGACATCTCGAAATGCTTATGCGACACATTTTCACTGCAATCTAGTTAATAATTTTGCTTCAATAAAAACTCGCTGGATATTACTCTATTTCTCTCGTAAATCGTGTGCAACGACGCTTTTCTTTGCGCTTTCGGTTTTATCGACAGCGAAAATGGATCGATAAAATGAAGCTTTCTCTGTTTTGTTCTCGGCTCATTGTACGCGTGTCGGATGACAACTTTCATCACGGGGAAAATAAGAATCATTGTCATAAGGTGCATACCCGAGCGAATATTGGCTTTTCGATACACATATTTATATATCAAACACAATAAATTCCCCGTATAAACACACAGCACGTCGGCACAAATCCCCGAAATAATTAAAATACGTATGTTAACATAATGGAATAATGTGTTTGATTTAAATATTACATGATGTTTGCGCGGTATTTGGTGATGGCTTAAATTGTCTGTGGGATAAAATCTTTGTCAACGAACGAAAATTCACCCGGCGAAAATCGCAAATATAACCAGATGATATTTTGCCGCATCCCGGTGAATGCATTGGTATAAAAGCGCTCACGCGCACGTTGACAATGCCAAATATCTTAAGCCATACCATAAATAATTCAAGACTTCAATTTGTGTTTACATTTTCGTTCAAGTCACCGAAATATACAAAGAAGACAAAAAGAATCGAAATATCTCAAATGCTCAACAAATGTTCACATTTCACCTTCGAATCAACAAAAACGTGTGTGCATACAGTGTATTCACCACATGGCAAACTGTTGCAAACAATATTTTCTTTTTTCTCCGTCGTTTTATATTAAATTTATGAAATATAAATTGTGTTTGATAATAAGTTGTTGGTTGTGACAGCGAAAAGAAAACTTCCAAATGATGGCATTACACTCGATTCATGCCAGTCAGTATTTTCACAATGATAAATCGCAACACAACTTACATACACTTTTCGGAGTTGGAACAGCGTTTGCGTCATAAATTCTTCAACTAACTTTTAAATCCGGTTCGTCTTTAACTTGAATTGCATTTGCATACTATATATGTTTTCGCAAGTAAATCTGATTCCACTGAGACGTGCCGACGACGACGAAACCTTGCGTTTATGATAGCAAATCCAGTCTTATTCACTTCAGTAGCAACAGTAGTTTTTTTTCCCTCTGTTTTTTCATATTTACTCAAGCCATAATAAATGACGATGCATCAAAATTGTATCAGTTTTGTTGTGTTTTCTATTTCTGATATGTCAGTTTTCATATCATTTTTGATAAGCAAAATACTTTCCCATGATGATGCACAAGCTATATCTTTTTATTTTCACAGGCAATTCAAAGCTGATTTCAGTATCTGGTTTTCTCTTTCTCTCTCTCGTTTTACAGCACCGCATGAGCTAACGTTTTTGATCATTAGTCAGAATTTCTCATTCAGTGCCAAATTAGCGAATGAACTGAAGAACAACATACTGCATCAACTGAGAATCGAAGCATTCTTAAATAATAATGAGGTAAGTCTTACCATTTTGCCAACAGAAAATCGAAAAAATTGAATGAAATCTCCTGTGGATGACCCGGAAAATGAGTCCAAAAATAGATCTCGATTCATTTGCATTGAAGAAACAACAACAGAACAATACCATTGACCTTTATCGAATTTACAGCATGTTCGATGGTTTTAATGTTATTACCATTGCCAATCAAAAATTATAGTATACTCAAAGTCATTTATTCTGTTTTTGCTTTTGCTTTTATTACCCTCTTGATATGGTTTTGTTTTGTTTTTTTTCTTCTTCCTCACCAGATCGATTTAGTGCAACAGCCGAAGATAATATTGTCGCATGAAACTTTCAACAGTATTGGATCGTGGGCGATTACACCGATTTTGGCTTCATCAATCGAATATATCGATAATATCATTTTGTCATCTCGTAACTTGAATGCAGCAGCAACAGAAGCAACGGCATCAGCACGAAAAGCAAATGCGCTGCCAGTCAATGTGACAGCAACGGCACCACCGCCGGAGGCATCGCAAACCAAATGGTTGATTCTCTGTGAAGATCAAAGTATTGTCGATTTGAAAGCTTTAATAAATAATCTCCAGAACGAAGACTACACCAAAGTGAGTGCAATTCCCATACACATCGCTCTGTTTATTCTTCCATCTTCACTTGTGCTGCTTCTCTCTTGAGCAAATACCAAACTTTTCGTTCAAAATCGAGATAGATGAGATATATTCGTATGTAATCTATTGCATCGAGTGTAGATGTCGGAGCGGACCACTGCAGATTGCTCTGTTTTGGTAATAAGATAAAAGCGACTGTGCAAAGACAGATAGAGTAGAAGAATGAAAAAAAAATGAACAAAACAAGCGCAACGAAAAAAAGCACCGATGGAATAATAATAAAGTGGAAAAAACAGTATGAAATATTGAACGAGTTGCGAACAAAAAGGCAAACATGTGAAATAGTCTCTCGTTAAAAAATTTTTTTGCAGCGTTGGCTTTGTACTGGAGCCAGAGAGCTTTATTTAAGTTCAACAAGAAAATTGCTCTTCGTTCCGAAAACACTCGCAGTAGGAAACAGAGAAAGAGAGATAGGAAAATGAAAAGAGAAAAAATATGCTCGCACAGAATACAAGATGCCAACATATTGCTCACATCTTGTGTGCATCATGTGCACTTGTTTTCTGTACATGGACGAACATAAATGTTGTACATTCCCATTCCCATTCTGAATACGCACAAACATGATAAAAGCCATTGTTAGTCGCATTTTTATGAGAAAATTTTGCCATTTTTTTCCCCTTTCAATAGACGAGAGATGGAAAAAAAACCATTTACTAATTTCATTTTACAATTTCGTGCAACACATACACACAAATTGGTACAAAGTATTCACCCAGCAGTTATTGGTTGAATATTCGTTTGAAATTTGTTTCGATGACTAAATCGTTTGAACCAATTTTTGGCATGGAATTTCTTTTTTTGCATTCTGTTTGGAATTTCATCAATAAATTGATTCCAGCAATAAAGCATTTAATAATAATTGAATCAATTGTTTTATTATTGTGTTTACGAGCAAAAAAATGAACATGAAAACCTAGATGCACTATTGCCTCAATAGTATTGAGTGCATGAAACATATTATTTATGCAGAAAATGATTATCAAAATTTACCAAAATGAATTTCAACTGAATAGAGCGATATTTGACCATATGGCATCGCATTTTTTATACCAATAAATGGCAGTCAAGTGTCTGTGTCAAATGATTTGGAATTTATTTCTCCAAAAAGTATTTCACAGTACAATTATTTCCCATAACACATATTCGTGAATGAGTGAAAGCCTTCCTTCCCCTGACAGGATGTGTTTACAAAAATGGCATTGATATGTCTTCCTACTTCCAAATATAGCCAAAATATTTTTTCCGCAGAATGACTCATCAAATTTGATGTTTTTTTTTATTTTGATTCCCCCAAAGCGCCATCCAAAAAAGCCATCCGCTGTGGTTAGAAAAAGCAAATGCCCGAACAGGATAATTTTCCAATTTTCTTGTTTGAAAAAAAAAAACGGGAAAAGTTTTAATCGGAATCACAATATCAACATCTTTAGAAAAGTTAGGAAAAATTATCTCTGCCTGCTTTTTTCACTGGGCAAAGTTTTCAAATAGCGATTCCCCGATCCCGAAAAAAAAGTTGCAGTAGCAATATCGATAAGTTATTCAGTTAATTTTGTGGAGGTTTTGTATGAATGAAGTGTGGCGTGGCGATTCATATTCCTTCTGAATGGCATTTAATTTTGAATAAACGCATCGCCAAGATTCCGAAAATTGTCTGCTCCAGCTCATGCTGAGTACCCAGATGCTATCTGCGGATGCTTTTAAAATTCCAATTTTAAATGTACAAAATTATGCACTTTGCACAAGACCGTGACGAAAAGTAGTTTCATTCCATGCCAAACGGAATGAAGAGCAGGAGAAGAGCAAAAGAAAGTACAGAACCGAAACAAAAAAGAAACAGCGGAAGAAAAACTTGATCCAAAAAAACCAACATTCTATTTTGCAGAAAAAATTTCTGGGTTATGGTCTTCGTGATGCTGAAGCAACAATCATACATCACTTTGCTTTTTTCGAAAATCCTTCTTGGTTTCTGTATCCATTATTTCGAGCCGGCGTCGCAATCAGTATACCGTTGCTGAAAATGTAAGTACCCAAAGTGAGCAAGAGAAGAAGAAAAAGAAGAATGGAAAATTATTATTTGATTGTTCAACGTTGGTGAATGCTGAACGAATACATATGCACGACGGAGTGTGTGTGCACTGTGCAGTGCATGGTGTATCTATAGAAACACCTTTGTAAACGTTGTTTTGTTGACTTGCTGCTCGTTGGCATGTGTAAAATACGTTTCGTTACGAAATTAAATTTTATATTCACGCGTTCACCTCCGCTCTAAATTAGGCAGTTAATTTGTGATATTTTGACTATGAAAGCTGCTTTAATGCATTTTGCGTGTTTTTCGTGTTTTTCTTTTTTGTTTACTGAAACATTTTTGCATAATTCTTATTTAGAAACAGTTTTGACCATTTGAAAAATGCTTTCAACGCATTCAACGCATTCAACGCTTTCAACCAAAAAGAATGATAAAAAATGGAAAGAAAGCGACAGCAAATTAGTTCGTACAACCGACAGAGTTGTTCATACACTGATTAAAATTTGTTGTCACGCCAAAGTTTTAATTATAAAGTTCCAAAGTTTCAAGTCTCAAGTGAGTGAAAAAAACAACCGACTTGAGCACTGTATTAACGACGTTGTAAACAAAATGAAACTATAATTTTCGAGACGACGACGACGACGCCGGCAACCAGATAATTGAGATTCAGTTTATCCATGCCAATGTTTACGTTGAGCGGTAGCCATTCAATTACGTGGTGTGTCGTGATTTCAAAACCACTTGTTATTCGACTCTCTATCAAATTCGTTCATATCCATATTCTTTTTCCTCCTGTTATACATGCGCCACATTGCAGACTAGCCGAACGAGTAAGAAGTGAAAAGAATGTGTCCGACTTTTTCATTGATGCATCGCATGAACTGTCGCTGTTCGCATGGAATAAGGGCAAAGGGCATCAACTGACCGAAGCGCCATACTTTTGTTTGGACCGTAAATCCAGTAAAACGAGCAGGTCATCAACGCTAGTACGACAAGGCAATGACGGTGAAGGAAACGGATGTGCAATTTACAGTCGCAGTCATGATGACAGCATTACCCAATCCCATTTGTATTCGCCTGACACAGCAACCGGAACAACTAAGTCATCATTTGTAAGTGTGTGTTTGCTATACCCCGAAAATTATTTCACATGACTTGCACGAATAAATAATGTTTATGCTCATGTCACATACCGTACGATATGAACCGTATGCTACATACATATATGGCTAATAAAAGAGAGTTGACACATCAAAAATTTAAACGTGAACAAACAAAGTGATTGTTATGCTCCTTTGATAAGTGCAATTCCAAAAAAATGATAACATCGTCTTGGTGCATAAACGTGCTCAGTTGACTGATGTCTTCACTTTTATTTTTTCTTTCCACTGGCATCAAAATAAATGTTAGCTTCAGCGCTTCGGTTTTTCTTTCTTTCTGTATGGCATGGAACAAAATGTACCATTCAGCACAGCAATAACATCATTTCGCCTCGTTTTCACTTTAGAAACGGACTTATAAATTATCAAAATGTCAACAAACGGAATCAACCATATTTTCGCCCACACATACACATTTTTATTCCAGTGCACTGGCTGTGCGCTCACAATTTTTCCACTTTGTTTGCTCCTTCTTTGCAGCGTAATTGAAATGGCAATACCATAAAAATAGCACAGATGCACACTAACTCGCAGATAAATCTCACAAAGTAGAGAGAGAAAAAAAAACCGGAAAAGTTTCCTTTTTTCCCAGAGAACACATATTTTTTTCAAATGTGCGCTTTTCTCTCTGTTTCCTTTCTGGCTGCAAACATTTCTTCTTGTTCTTTGGATATTGCATTCATATGTCGCAACTCTACCATAAATTGCTATGCCGAGCCTGAGTATAGTAAGTTTGTTGACAACATTCGCGCAAATCATTATATTTGCTCTTTCTCTCTGTTTGTGTCTCTAAGTTGAGACCGTGGTGGTACCTTTTGCTGTGTAATGTTTGTTTCGCATTTTTCTCCGATTTATTTTCCGTCTCCATGTTTATTTTTCTGTGTGTTTGTCGATTCCTTTGATAAACTACACAAACATTCTGACGGATATCAAAACAGAAGCAATTCTCTTCCCTGTGGCTATTCGCGCAATAGAGATACCGGTCAAGAGGTTTTTCATTAGAAACATAATATCCTTACATTGGCGTCTTCGTTTTGTGCGAGTTTGTTCATATGACGCTGTGTTTGTTTGCGGATGAATGCCTTAAACAAAATTGCTTTAATTCACAACCTAATGAAAATGGAATGCGGTTAAATTGATTGTATAAATTTAACTAGTGCATGCTAGGAATGATAAGATCCATCATTGTTTTCAGTGACTTTATGCGGTCTTTGCGACTGAATTATGTATTTTCAGACTCCGGTCGATGTGACAATTAATCAAATATTCTTTGCCATTAAAACATGGTCAAAGAACCATGAGGATCGCGTACCGGTCATTCAACGAACATGGGCCAAGGAAGTAAAACACATTCGTTATTACAGCGATGTTGCCGGTAATTTATTACGGTTACCTTGATTCAATATTGATATTTTTATAGTCTTTGGAGTCGAGAGAAACTTTTTTTATATCAAAACTTTGATTCGAAATAAATAATTTTTTAATGACCATTTTTTATCGATTTTGCGATAAATTTTTCTTTCATTTTATCAACAACTAAATTGAAAACAACCAACAAAAACAGATCCAAACATACCAACAATAAGTACAAATATAGAAAACACAGAGCATGGGCATTGTGCCAAAACGTTAGTCATTTTACAACGGGTTTGGGAGGAAATAATAGCAAATAAGCAACTGAAACCAATCAAATATGTAGTTTTAAGTGATGACGACACATTGTTCGGGTAAATGCAATTGGAAATATCGTACAAATATTTTTAAAGTTCATACAATTGAATTAATTTATTAATTTTCATTTTTTGTGTATTTCTTCCTCTCTCTCGCTGTGCATGTATGTGTATGTGGATATGTGTGTTAATGCAGAGTGTCAACATTGCTGGGATACCTGAAGCGATTCAATGCAAATGCTGATGTTTATCTTGGCGAGAGATATGGCTATCAGTTGCTCTCTCGGAATGGTTTTAATTACATAACTGGCGGCGGTGGCATCGTATTTAGTTTGAGCGTCATTGAGAAGCTCGTTCAAAATTGTCGGTGTCCATCATCGTCATCACCGGATGATATGATTATCGCTCTTTGCCTGCAACGCATTGGCATCGAACCAATTCACTCATCACGTTTTCATCAAGTACGGCTTTGTTTCAATCACAATGTGACGTTAATTCGAAACGATCGTTGATGATAGCTATATGCTATTTTATCCTCTTTTTCTCTCCTTTTGATATGTGTAGGCCCGGCCAATCGACTACCCGGAGGAGGTTTTATTATACAATAAACCGATTTCATTTCACAAATTTTGGCAAATTGATCCATATTATGTATACGAACATTGGCTGCGACAAAGTGACACAAATGTAGTTGAAGCCAACAAATACAAAGTAGGACACGGCAATGAGTATTATTGCAGTAAAAATCAAAATGAATTATGTCATAGGAACATTTATGATGGGAATAATTAAATAAACATGTTTGTTTATGTTTAGAATTGAGTTGAATTCGACTTGAAGAAGAAAAAATCAAATAAACTCTTTTTTCGATGTTATGCATGTTTTTCTGTCAAACAACTGAGGCTGTAACTGAAATAAATGATCAAAACTGAGAAATAAACGATAACAATTGGTGGTTTTAATTGGAGTTAGTTAGTTTTATTAGTTTTAATTCTCAATTGATTTTCTTCCAAAACTGGATGCTCCAAATCAAATGACGAGAATAACGTGTGTTCTCCATGAAGAAAATTCATTTATTTTCATCGAATTTTTATCGATTCAACCACAATTGAATCTTGAATCGAAGCAAAACCCAGCTGGTCATTACAATGGTCATTGTCCGATTTGATATCAATTGGTTCCTCTTCTGACTTATCATCGTTTCCATGTTCCCAAGGAGCCCGACCTATAGAGCTTAATGACGTACCAGAATCCATGTGACTTTTCAGGAAGTAACTTTGAGCTATTTTGAACATTGAAACAATTTACATTAGTATGAACCGTAAGAATTCTGAACCGAGAGAAAAGGTATTGGGATATTGACTACCTGTGGCTACGAGAAGAAATGTGTGAAAGGTATATTGACATTCTATTTCCATTAACACATTAATAAACAGATGCTCTGAAAAAGTCGATAACGGCAGTCGACAAAGATCCAATAAAACCCATAGCATTAACAAAGATGCATAAAATCCACTACCACGTGGCCAGCGACCATTGAATGTGATGATTTTCTGGACAAAGTTGGTGATTTTGTTCTTTACAGAAGATTCCTTCCCCGTACGCAAAGCCATGCCAAATAACACATCTATAAAAATTAATACAAAGATAAATATTAAATTCGATAATTTGTCTACGAACAAATATTTTCAGAGCACATACTGTTAGTCACCAGATGAAGTTGTGCGAACAAATTGAACGTTTTGCATGGAATAAATGCAGAAAGTAAAATAATTGGAAACACAGTGGTAGTAAATGATGTAAGCAATATTGATCGCATTGTAGCGGTGGCGCGTAGTGATTTTTCTTCAACCTGTAAAGAATATCATAATATAAGCTCATGAATAATACTGCTTAGACTAGTTTACATTTTGTTGAACTTTTTTCTTTCCAAAGATTTGAAACACACTCACCCCACGAATGTCCCAGTAAATTAATTGCAAATGAGTTACAATGTTCATTGTCATGTATAGAATAAATGCGCTGAAATAAAGATTGTAAATTACGTAGGATAGACGACTTGTTTGAAAAAATGACAAAAGTTTGAACAAAACCATAAAGTTGAGACCAAGTGTTATATTGCATAGTACGAATAGAGCAATATAAATATACGTCTTTTTGCGATAATCTCTTATTTTTGGCCTAAGTTCACAAGCCAATATTAGGAGTAACACTGTGAATATAAAAACAACAAATTGAATGATTATTTTTACAATCAATGCGTCGAATGATTTGTTCAGATTCTAATTGCGACTTACTTGTAATTATGAACATAAGATACGCCGCTACTTTCAATGAAAGTGGTAAATTTCCAGTGTTCAATATTATCGCTCCATCGCTAAATAACAGAAAAGCAATTAGCAATAAAAATATTGCTAAGCATTTATGTGCAACCGCTTCTTCATCTTTGGTCAATTTCCTCATTTTGGTTTATACAAGAAGTTTCGAAAAGTATTTCCTCATTTTGGTTTATACAAGAAGTTTCGAAAAGTATTTTGATTTCAATTTAAGATGTAATGTCAACACGAAACTGAACGACGTTCATAGGATATTTTGACACGTTCATATGGATACATCCTTTGTATATCCTTGTGTCAAGGATACGCAGTTGTTTTTAAATCCTGCTAGATGTCACTGGAAGTTAGATCGAACAGCGACTGCTCTATAACAACCACATTAGCACCATAAAAATGTATTTGATGAGAATGTGGACAGTGCATTGCAAAAACTTAATATTCAATTATTACTAATTATGTATTAGAACACGGTGTAATTGAATAAACGGATTACATTTACCAAACTTTGGAAGATCGATTCATATTATATACATTATCAATTGACGCAAACGAAGTCGAAGCAAACAAAACAAATAAATACAAAATGGCATTTAGCAATCAATGATCGTTGCTAGTAAAAATCAAAACGAATTTTGTCGTGGGAACATTTATCACGGGAATAATTGGAAAAGAAAATGTTTGTTATGGAATTGAGTTTAGTACAATTTAGAAAAAAAAAACTCGAATAAACTCCGGTGCTATGTTAGCCCTCAACTGCATGAATTTTTCCCAAGACTGATGTACTGGTACTTGGTTAAATTTTGGTCATAGATAACGAAAAACATATTCATAATCCTAGATTTCTAATGGTTTAGTCAGGAAATGCGATAGACATAAATCAGAGAACAATGAAATCCATTGTTTAAAAGCGTCAAAAATGTGTCCAATTTTGAAAGGTCGTAATTAGTTTTGTCAAATTTTTGTTTTCCTGCACATTTTTGTTTATAACTTAACAACGGCACTACATAGACAAATGGTTCCAAAAACAAAAATCAAGAGAAAACATTGACGAATGAAAAATCTCTTTAATGCAATGTGATTCGACGTAAGGTTCACATCATACAGGCGTTTAAATGATGCCCGCCAAAAGGCGGGCTTATGCAGTTTAGGGTTAAATGTTTTCTTGTCAAACAACTGAGCCTGTTATTATTTCTAAAAAGTTGTCATATTCATTTGTTTTCATCTAAAACAAGATAAACTTGAGAATAATTAAGAAGAAAGGTATAAGTTTTCTATCAATACTTGATCGTTAAAATAAATCGGAAAATGTTGAAATTACCTCCACTTCATCTTTGACTTACCAAAACTTGGACATTGTGCCCTAGAACTATTCTAGCTATTTAATTTAATCACAGTAAATATTACAAGAGATACTTCAATGGATAAAATGATGAAAATGATTTTTTTCATCAAAAAATAGATTCATTTATTTGTCATTTATTGTGTTTAAATCATTGAGTTTAGTTCGAGTCATCCAAATCCAAAAATGTGTCTTATTCGATATCATTTGGTTGCTCTTTGGATTCATCATCTTTTCCAAGACCCCAAGAATCAAGAAGAATGGTTTCTACTGTAGTGAAATCAATTTTTGCATCAGGATCCATGAGACATTTCAGAAAGAAAGCTTGAACTAATTTTAAAAAAAACATCAATATGGACGAATCACAAAGGAAAAAAATCAGTATTGAAATATATTACCGGTGGCCACGAAAAGAAATATTTGTAGGATACAAGATAATTCGTTTTCCATTTCATAATTTTTATACGAATCCTTTTGAACATTCGATATCCATATTCCACCAAATTCCGATAATAAGTATAATATTATCATTGATATGGCATATGCTTCTAGCCTTGGCCATCTGCCATTGAAGGTGATGATTTTCTGAACAAAGTTGGTGATTTTACTCTCTATAAGAGATTCTTTCCCCGCACGTAAAAACATGGCAAAAATCATACCTAAAGTAAATATGTAAATATGAATTAATTTCGACAATTTGCGTAGAAACAAATATTTTCAAGACACGCACTGATAATTAACAGATAATATGATACCAATACATTTAACGCTTTGGATGGAATAAATGCACGAAGTAGAGGTATTACGAGCACAAAGACAGTAAACGATATTAGCAATATTGATCTCATTGTGGCAATGGCCCATAGTGATTTTCCTTTGATCTGAAATGAATATCAACATCATTTATAGGCGAAATTCATTACACAAATTTATATTATTAAACTTCATTTTGAATTGTTTTTCTTTTATTCATCAAATGATTTGGATGTAAACTCACTCCACGAATTTCCCAGTAAATCAGTTGCAAATGTTTTAAATTGTTCATGACCATGTACAGAATGAATACACTGATATAAAGATTATAAGTTACTTGGGCCAATAAACTAGTGTAAAAAAATGAGAACAGCTTGAGCGAAATCATCAAATTTAGACCAAAAGTTATATTGCATAGTATGAATAGAGCAATATAAATATATGTCTTTTTGGAGCAATCTCTTATTTTTGATACAAGCACACAAGCCGATATTAGAAGAAACACTGTGAATAAAAACACAATATCATGGTTACTGTTACATTCAATACGACAAATAATAATGAATTTGTTTAGATTTTATTTATGATTTACATGTAGTAGTAGACAAAAGAAACGCCAATACTTTCACTGAAAGTGGAAAATTTCCAGTGTTCGAATCTATCGCTCCATTGCCGTACATCAGGACAAACATTATCCATAGAAGAGATATAGTGATTCTGTACCCAAATAATTTTAAAGATTTGTTTGTAGTTTTTTTCATTTTTTATGGAATGATTTCTTATGGGTTCAATGAAAACATGAAACTGAATGGTGAACACAGGATATATTGACAGGTTCATAGGTATAAGTACATCTGTCATAGTACACATATCCTTGTGTGAATGCATACAAATCCTACTAGATGTCACAATTGTGCCAGGAACTCAAAGCAAAAGAAATTTCATTATAAGCGTCGTTTTTCCGTTACGCATTTAATTTGTCTTATGTGTGCTTAGTTTTTAAATCAAAATCCAAATAAATTTCTTTCAAATTATTTCATGTTGTGTGTTTAATTGATTCTTCATTGTTTGTTGCATTACATTCTTTTTCTGCGAAATTTACTCTATGTTCACCAAAGTTCTTGCCCACAGAGTAGAACCCAAATAAGTTAAAAGACATACAAACATCAGCAATGCTAGGTTAGAAGCGGTTTCGTAACAAATCACCCACTCATCTGGGCATGCACTTGGAGTTTGTAAGAAAAAAATCACGCAACAATTAGCCGACATCATCCACATAAGCCCCGAAAAGATAAGTTTGGCGACAATGTGTGGGAGAGTACTGCAAATCTGAAATGGCATTTAACAATAATTGGAATAATCAAATAGTTCATAAGTTGATAGAAGGATATTTATTGAATCTTACATCCAAGAAATCGTCTTGAAAGGCACGAAACGTTATCATCGAAATTTGAAAGAAAGCAAAAATGACAACGGGCCAATATGCTCTATCAGTTGAATGATCATTTGGAAAATTGTTCTGTACTGCGGCATAGACACCACAGGCGGCGGCACAGAACAAAAAATCAACAACAATATTCCAGAACTTTTGCACCTAAAAGTTTGAATAAATGTATGTTATTTCTTATAATGAAAAAAATATGTAGGCCTTTTGGAACTCACCAAGTTAGGATCGCCTTGAGATTCTGCATTGGTCCATGATACTTGTGGCATTGTGATGGAATACCGGGAAACCTAATTGAACAGTGCTTTCCTCGCTGTTTGGAGTGTGAAATGAAATATTAGTTTGCCAACGCAAAACGAACGTCTGGTCATTCTTCAATGTTTTATGACACATGATCATTAGTTCATTGTTTACCGTATTGAAATTTAAGCGAATTGTTTTGAAAAAAATATATATTTGCCCGTCGAACGTTATGCAGAAAGTCTGTGCTGCAATATTTATATCATATTTTACAGCTTAGTTTGCACAATACACATTCGATAAACTCCATAAACACATGAATCGAACGTTCAAAACAATTCGCTTCGACTATAAGCGTCATTTTGATTCAGAATACTATTCAAACAACATCAAATCAGTTAAACATTCAGTTGGTTTTTCATTGTCCAATTAACATGGCTGATAATAACGTGGACAAAATTCGCAACGCAATTGCCAAAGGTTATACTGAAATATCCGTACAAATATTAATAGAGAGAAATAAACGCAAAAATACTTATTAAACTTTCAACGTCGTTTGGCAGAGCCTGAAGAAAGCGACGCTTAACGAACATGAAGAAAAGAGTGGATGGATTGAAAAGCATTGGAAATTCTTTCCCAGCACAAAAATGAACAAAAGCCGATATTAATCGTCGAATTGTCAACTTATTCGGAAAGTTAAAAATTGATTTCTTTTCGTGGCTGATTTCAACGACATGAAATAAATTAATTGATTTCAAGCTTTAAAAAAGCAAAAACATATGTGTTTTCATAATAATATTCTGAAGTTTTTGATTGAAATTAAATCACCTGATAAATAATAGAATTTCGTATCAGTGACACATGATCATTGTTCATCAATCACTGTTTATTGTATTGAAATTTAAGCGAATTGAATTGATTCGATAAAAATGAACAAATCATATGAATGGCAAATGCCGGTCGATCGGCGCAACGAAAGTCTGTTCAATTTACACAATTCTACTGGTATAATACCTGATACGGAGAAATGCCAGTGTGTTTGACTTGATGATTTTTCAATTGTTCCTTGGGCGAAAAACTCTTGCTGCAGTAAACGCAATGGATAACCGACTGACCAATGTGGTTATTCCGATGATCTATGAATGAAACACATTGAAATTTAATAAAATCATGTTCACTATACGTTTCAAAATGTAAGCCCATTTGCGTATTTAAATCAGATCACCGTGTCATACCTTTTCGTGCAAACGCTGAAAACGAACGATTTTCTTATTTATTTGTTTTATCACGAACACACACCGTCTAAATCTAAAAAGTGTAGCGGAAGTATGTGTCCATCTTATTAATAAGATGGCGCCACCAGCGCAGCTCTTCTGACACTTCAATCTGCCAACCGTATCAAAAGGCCTTAATAATCAATTGACTACAGCATACACAGTGACAGTAGTTTGTTGAAGACAACAGCCTAATCTAAATGTAATTTCATTTCGTTTTTGTTTTCATTTTGTTTTTTCTTTGTGTACCATTCAATTTGATTCGGCTGATTTGAGGTGTGGCAACGAAATCCAATACAAATGGACTATAATTCTGCATTGAAAAATGCCAGTTCCAATTCATTGGACTCCGACTCGAAATCATCGTCGCTCAGTTCAAAACAGGGTGGTGACACAATGGTAATTCATAATCAGTATAAGTAAATAATCGCATCTCATTTGTATGCATAATTTTCATTGCGATTATTATAATTATTTCGTGTATGTGTGTAGGTACCGAATAGCAATTTATTCACGCTGTTGTCGGGTGAAAAGACGGAAGACATGAAAAATGATGTTACATACATTTGTCCATACAATGGCCCAGTCCGTGGAACACTCACCATTACCAATTACCGATTGCACTTTCGATCGGTGCCGATAAATGAAAAACAAAAAGATCCAATGATCGTGGTTGATGTTCCGTTGGGCGTTGTGTCGCGCGTTGAAAAAGTCGGCGGAGTGAGTTCACGCGGTGAAAATTCCTATGGAATCGATATCTTTTGCAAAGATATGCGAAACTTACGATTCGCACACAAACAAGAGAATCACTCACGACGAACCGTTTTCGAGAAATTGCAAACCAACGCATTCCCATTGTCGTACAACAAAATTTTGTTTGCGTTTTCGTACAAGGAATCATTCCTAGAGGAAGGATGGAATGTATATGAACCGATTGCCGAGCTTAGGCGTCTGGTAGGAATATTGATTTTTCTCTCAAACAAAATAGTTTTCTTTAGTCAAGGCAATGAAGTTCAGCAGTAGTGTTGTTGCAATACATGCTGTAGTTTGTTGTTTTAGCTTCAATGACTTGACTGTAACATTGAATCAATTGCTGATTTTATGAATTCTCTTCGACTGTTTTCAGGGTGTTAACATGGCCAATAACGATACGTGGCGAATCACGCGAATCAACGACAACTATGAAATATGTGATAGCTACCCAGCTGTATGGGCAGTTCCAAAAACCGCATCCGACGAATTGTTGAAACAAACAAGTATGTTTCGATCGAAGAATCGTCTGCCGGTACTCAGTTGGATTCATCCAAACACATTGGCCACAATCACACGATGTTCACAACCATTGGTTGGTGTGAGTGGCAAGCGAAGTGCCGAAGATGAGAATTATCTTACATGTATTATGGAAGCAAATGCCGAATCGGATAAATTGTCCATTATGGACGCTCGACCGAGTTCAAATGCTATCGCAAATAAGGCCAAAGGAGGCGGGTATGTGTTGAAACATAAGTTTTCATCATAAAATATTATCAAATTAAGTGCATCATAATAAAAAATCCCATAAAGACAAATGAAAATTAATGGCAAAACGTTGACTTTTTCAGTTACGAAGCTGAGGATGCCTATCAAAATGTCGAAGTGATCTTCCTGGATATCCATAACATTCACGTAATGCGCGAGAGTTTGCGAAAATTGAAAGAGATTTGTTTCCCAGCGAACGATGATCAAAAGTGGCTATCGGCTGTTGATAGTACATTGTGGTTGAAACACATCAAATGCATCCTGGCGGGTGCCGTACGAATTGTAGATAAGGTAATACTTTTTCAGACAAGAATACGGTCTTTGATTTTCAAATGTTAATGCATTTCTTGATCTTGCAGATCGAAAATATGAGCACATCAGTGGTTATCCATTGCTCTGACGGATGGGATCGAACATCACAGCTCTCAGCATTGGCAATGCTTTTGCTTGACCCATACTATCGAACCATTAAGGGATTTGAAGTTCTTATCGAAAAAGAGTGGCTTTCATTTGGTCATAAGTTCCAACAACGAATCGGTCATGGTGACAATCACCATTCCGATGCCGATCGATCTCCAGTCTTTTTGCAATTTATCGACTGTGTGTGGCAGGTGATGAAGCAATATCCGCATGCGTTTGAATTCAACGAACATTTTCTTATCACCATTTTGGATCACTTGTACTCGTGCCGATTTGGTACATTTTTGTGCAATACAGAACGTGAGCGTGTTCAAGAGAGTAAGCACCCATTGAATTTGGAGTATTGAGTTTTTGTTTTGAATAGAAATTTCAATTTTGGACAATTTGCTACTATTAATTTCATTCATTTGTTTGCAGAGCTCAAAGAAAACACCGTATCATTGTGGTCATTCACCAATGCATCAAGTGATCAATATCGAAACCCATTGTATGGCCGTCACAGTTCAATTGAAAGAGTATTAAAGCCGATTGCAAGTATGCGACACATTCGGCTATGGAAAGGTCTCTACTGTCGCTGGAATCCTTGTATGCGTGCTCAGGACCCAGTTTATCAGCGAACTCGTGAGTTGCTCGCTCTCCAAGAACAGTTACAGAAGCAAATGGATGAGTTTCGACTAGAAAAGAACCAAAAATCGGCCAATCAAGGATGTCGATTGGCTTCACCTCTTCACTAGAAAAAAAAACACATCGAATGCAGTGCTTCGCAACAAACATTTCGTTTGGATAAGCCGCTAAAACTGAGTTGACAACTAAGAGCATAGATTTTTTTTTATAGAATATTACAATATCATTCAGAATAAAACCAAGAAAAAACAAATCTCGAAAATACTAACAAAACAAGGAAAGAAACAAAAATTGGTAACATCCAGTACAATATTTTATAAGCAAAGAATTACATTTGATTCTCATGTATGATAGAAGCTAATAAAATGGTTTTCTAACAACAATCACCCAATAAATCAAATTTGAATCACTGTCGTCGCTATCACAGAATAATATCTGTCAAATGAATGCAGAGGTCGCATCCGCCACGGTTTGACACTGTCACTTGCTGTGTGCGGCAGAAATTGTATCAGGTTTTGACAGTGGAGAGGATTTTGCAAAGGCATATTGACGTTGAACAAGGAATACACACCAAGGAATGCGTTGAATCGGTGAAAAGGATTGAAATATGCGGGAAATGAAAAAGTCTACACACAAAATTCGCGATTCCATTGTATGTGTGCGCGTTTGTGGTTGTGTGATTGTGTGCATTGTATGCTGGTGTATGTGTCAGTGACCGCATATATTGCAAGTTGGATGATGATATAGAACAAACAATACAACAGCGCTGGTAAAGCGCGTTTTCAAACGGCGGCACATTAACACACATATACAAATGCTGAATACACATGAAGAGCGTCTCTTTCTCTCTATCGTTCGCCTCCGCAATTCCAATAGTCGGGCTGTGTGAAAAAAACCGAATCGGTCACACATACACATGCACTTCATACACAAATACACTCCCAAACAAAAAAACCGAAGCAGACATAATACATAAAAGTTTATTCTACTTCTTCTTCTTCTTTTCCCTTGTAATGTTTTTTCATCTCTCGCACAATTTGATTCACATTGAGCCATTGCTCAATCAATACGGCGATGAAAATTAATAAACTAAATGTAAAACGATACGGTTGAAATTTAAGTGATTTAACTAGATGCTGGTGTTGTATTTCATTGAGCTAATGTGAATTTGGTGTGTGTATGGAATTGACGAGAAAAAATTTGGTGAAATTTTGTCCGACGCGCAAAAATTCCGCCGCGAAACTTGATTGCAGGAAAAGAAGAATAAGAAGACTAGAGGCACACACAAGCGAGAGAGAAAAAAGGTTGTTTGTTCAATTTCGATAGAATCGATTTTATTTGAGTGTTGGTGTTACCGATAAAAAGAAAACACAACCAAAAAATAAAGATCATCTGTAATTAGCGCCTGTTTTTGCCTATTTCGCAATTCGATATTCCATCGCGACATTTACTCGACCATCCGAAAAATTGCATTGTATTTTCGCATATTCGCCATTCATTTGTGCTACAATATGTGAGTGTCACACACAATATATAGTACCCATATAGATATAAACGATTATATGTCGGCTATAGCCAACACACAGATTGAATAGAACAACAACAACAACAACAATTACTAGAATAACATATATATTTTCATACACACAGTTGTTTTGGACCAAAAAAAATATTATATTTTTCCTCTGTGCACTCTGTGTGTGTGTTCGGGCGCCATCATTATCGCAACGCATTACAAGTGAACAAAAAAAAAATAACGAAAAAATTGCTTTTCTTTCCTTCTCTCGCAAGAATATTGGGAAAAACGCGATTTGCTGCTTTTCGTGTGCATGTATGTGTGTTTATAAACATAAAATGTGACCAGAGAAATCAGAGACAGATGATCATAATTGAATCGTCTTATTGGAATCGTATTGGAATTACGACGACAAGCAACTACTGCGTGTGAAATGCCGCAATCGACATAACACAATGTGATCGAAAGCGCCATTCTATTCTATCGCATAGAAAAAAAAAAACAAAACAAAACAAAACAACACAGCAAGCAGCAGCAATAGCGGCAGCAGAAAAAAACTACACATCTCGTTTGACTCGTAGTAAAATAAGACAGTGTCAAAACGTCGCAATAAAATAAATGTACGAAGGAGAGAAAATGTAGCGAGCAACATTTGTTTGAGGTTGTTAATCAAACGCGACGAATTTTTGTCACATCTTCCCAGGTACGACACATTTTTTTGTTGTTCGGCTGAATTGTGCGTAATATTTTTTTTTCCTTCGTTATCATTTAAATCACTTTTCGGTGAAACTGAATAAACAACATTTATTGATTTGATTCATTTTTTTATCTTCAGTCACTGGTCTTAAAGTGTTGAACTTTGAGCACCATCCGATTTTATAAGAAACTGTCACTTGTTTTTAAGAGAAATTGAATTAATGCAGTAAAAGATGGCTTCGATTCCAACTTTAGGAGGTAAGCGCTAGACATTTAGAGGCAAATTTCATTTAAAAGAATTTTTGTTTCGATTGTTTTCAATCAATTCAATTTGTGCTGATATTTTCGAGTTTGATTTGTGAAGATTTTTTTTTGCTACTACAGTTAAACTCGCATAAAAATGCAATTTATCGATTTTCACCCCGCGAGAACTTGATTTAATGAATTCATTGACCTTTAACATTATGTTCTATTTTTAGGGCATCATTTGGTGAATCAGCAGCAGCACAATAGCATGCAAAATAATAGCGGCACTTCGTTACCGCCGAATTCGCAACAGTTGCAAGAACGTCACTCGCAAATCAATCAGCAGCCACCTGAACCGGTCAATAACGTCCGATTGGACGGTAATCCGAAAAAGCGTATGCTATCGCAGCAGCAGCATCAAATGGTAAGCTTCGCCTTAGATTTTGGGTTCTGGTGTGTGTTCTGAGCCTTGGTATCTGCGATTTTGAGCTAATTTCCACTCTTTCTAATTCGTCAAAGCAATCGCAGCAAATGCCGCATCACCAAGAGCATCAAATCACTCAACATGTGGCTCAATCTGGCCTACCAATCCCGATTCATCATCCGATCAGCGTAAGACCACAATTTACTCTCATTTTCTCGGCAATTCTTCTAACAATCTTGTTTTCATCATTCAGAATAACAATGTCAATCTTTTCTTTTCGCCACAGCAATTGTTTGCCATTGATCCGCACACCCAGCAGACGATTAAAACGGAAAATGATAATAAATTCTATCATTTTCCATCGCATTCAATGGGTAAACCGCAGATTTTATCGGACACCAAATTGCCGCCAGCGCAAATGTTTGACGTTCGTAACGCGGATGGGCAAATTGTGCACGTGAATATCGAGGATATCAATCAGTTTTTAACGTATCACGAAGTGTTTGGAAAAATTGGATCAGATCATGCATTTCCTCCCACATCGAACTCACTCGCAATTCCACCAATTAATGCTTCCGTACCGGTATCGAATGCACAGTCAACGTCCATTCCACCGGCCTCGATTAATCCGACCAATTCACAGTCGCAATCAACACCATTGATCATACCGAAAATCGAGAATATCAACACATCCGGTTCGAATACGAATTCAGTGTCGGTCAGCACCACATCAAATGTTACAAACAATTCAACGACGTCAACATGCGTCACAGCTGGCGGCAGCGATGATTCAACGACAATGCCATCGCCAGGCATGCACACTTGCGATATTTGTGGAAAAGTGTTTGCCTTCAAATACCAATTCATTGGTAAGGAAACGTTGGCTACATGAACATCAATGACTTCTTTTCGTTTCTGATTTATTTTCCCTATCTCTCTTCTTTAGTTCATCGTCGCTATCATAACGAACGTAAGCCATTCATTTGCCAAGTATGTGGCCAAGCATTCACAACTTCCGTTGATCTAACATCACATGGTAAAATCCACGAAGGAGTCAAAATGTTCATATGCAATGTGTGTTATAATGTGTTTGCGAACGATGCTAGTCTGGAACGGCATATGAAACGACACTCCACTGATAAGCCATTTGGTATGTGAATTTGAATATTTTTCGTCTTTTTCTGTTTAAAAATCGAATTTTGAATACAAAAAATGGGGGTAAAACGAGTAAATGCTAATGTGAAATCGATCTTCTGCAGGTTGTACGGTTTGCCAGAAGACGTTCGGGAGGAAAGAACACTTGGACAATCATTTCCGATCTCACAGCGGGGAAACACCTTTTCGGTAGGATTTCGGTGTATTTTTAGTACATATTTGTTTACGTATTCCGAATGACGTACAAATCGACTGAATCACGTTATGTGGTACAAAGGTTTATCATCATTAAAATGTGTGTTTCTCTTTGTTTTGTTTCAGGTGCCAGTATTGCGCTAAGTGTTTTACTCGTCGTGAACATATGCAGAATCACGTCAGGAAGTAAGATTTCGACTTTGTCAAATTTGCCGGTCAAAAATTTAATTAAAATTTCGTTTATTTCCCAGGCACACTGGAGACACGCCGTTCAAATGTGACATTTGCAAAAAATCGTTCACAAGGAAAGAGCATTACGTCAATCACTATATGTGGCACACAGGTGAAGTGACGAATCTACTTTTTCTATGGCAAAAAAATATTTGCACTAAACTTTGATTTTCTCTAGTATACTAATTATTGAATTTTCGCAATTAAATAGGCGAAACTCCGCATACATGCAATGTCTGTGGCAAGAAATACACTCGCAAAGGTAAGATGATACATATTTTGCGTTTGAATTGGCTTATTGTTTGTTTGTATAATTGATTCATAACAAAAACAAGTAAAATCTACTAAGACGTAAGACGATCTTGGATACACCTGAACAAACAGACAAATTTAATTTATATTTTGCAACAGAAAACACTGATCTTAATTTCAATTTCTACTTAAAGAACATTTGGCCAACCATCAACGCTCGCACACAAATGAAAACCCGTTCCGGTGTGAAATATGCGGCAAATGCTTCAGCCGCAAGGAACATTTCACTAATCATATTTTGTGGTAAGTGACGAGAATGAGACATGACCTTTTCTGATTTTGGAAAGAAAATTTTTGAACGAAAGATATCTTTGCTAAAATTGGAAGAGGGCCACATGAATAATTTAAACTCATCACACAGGCATACTGGAGAGACACCACATCGTTGCGATTTCTGCTCCAAAACATTTACTCGCAAAGAGCATCTCTTGAACCATGTCAGGCAACACACAAACGAATCTCCGCATCGATGTAAGTAGAATTTTTGGCTTAAAAACATCGTAAGATATAGTGAAAGAAAATACAGCGCAGAAAAACCAAAAATAACTTCAACCGGCTAAAAATAAACCGTTTCACCTGTTCGAATATCCGAAACATAAGTCGGTTTAATTCATGTAGCCGCATGTGTTTCATACACCATTACACCACGCTCTAATGTGAGTTGAATTATTTTTATCAACATTGCAGGCTCTTACTGCATGAAATCATTCACAAGACGTGAACATCTCATCAATCACACCAGACAGCACACAGGTTCGTATATATGACAACAACAAACATGACTTTGTCTACATACATTGTTTCATTTACCAAAACATTCTAATGTCTAATCATAATTCAAATTTTTTCGCAGGAGAGACACCGTTTAAGTGCGAATTTTGCCCGAAAGCATTTGCACGAAAAGGTATGATCTGATTTACTTATGGAAATAGGCTAACAAACGTACAGTGAACATGATTTTATTAAATTTCTTTATCAATGTGTTTCATTCTCAGATCATCTAAACAATCACAGAAATCAACACACTGGCCAGTCGCTACATAAATGTGTCTATTGCAGCAAGAGCTTTTCGCGCAAGGAACACTTGAAAAATCATCAAGTCAAACACACTGGCATTTCTCCGTATCAGGTATTATAACAGTAGAATTGTGTAAATTGAACAGACTTTCGTTGCGCCGATCGACCGGCATTTGCCATTCATATGATTTGTTCATTTTTATCGAATCAATTCAATTCGCTTAAATTTCAATACAATAAACAGTGATTGATGAACAATGATCATGTGTCACTGATACGAAATTCTATTATTTATCAGGTGATTTAATTTCAATCAAAAACTTCAAAATATTATTAATGAAAACACATACGTTTTTGCTTTGGTAAAGCTTGAAATCAATTATTTTATTTCATGTTGTTGAAATCAGCCACAAAAATAAATCAATTTTTAACTTTCCGAATAAGTTGACCATTTGACAATTAATATCGGCTTTTGTTCATTTTTGTGCTGGGAAAGAATTTCCAGTGCTTTTCAATCCGTCCACTTTTTTCTTCATGTTCGTAAGGCATCGCTGTACTTCGGGCTCTGCCAAACGACGTTGAAAGTTTGATAAGCCAGATGAATTTCGTAGGTCGGCTATCGATGCTGGTAATTTTGCGTTTATTTCACGAAACAACGATTGGGCTGCATTTGAAAAAGAATAACTATTCGAATTAAGATATTCACAATATTTGTCCGACTATATTTCAGTATAACCTTTGGCAATTGCGTTGCGAATTTCGTCCACGTTATTATCAGCCATGTTGGTTGGACAATGAAAAACTAACTGAATGTTTAACTGATTTGATGTTGTCTTGGTAGTATTCTGAATCAAAATGACGCTTATAGTCGAAGCGAATTGTTTTGGACGCTTGAATCATGTGTTTATGGAGTTTATCAAATGTGTATTGTGCAAACTAAGCTGTAAAATATGATGTAAATATTGCTGCACAGACTTTCTGCGTATCGTTCGACGAGCAAATGTCTGTGTCGTATCCAAATAATTATAATCATTCTCAAGATGATTTTCTTTTCGTGTCTTTGATTTGTTTAAATTGCAAAAATCGAAGGGTTTTTCGTCATCGTAAGTCAGTACTGACTCCCACAAATTAATGCAAGTCCTACCACAACGTATTCATAACAAGTCAACGCGAGTCAGTTTAGGTCAATCGAATTTTTTTTTACAAAGAAACAGTTACTCGCACAGTTGCCTACATTTTTCGTACTGATTCGTGAGACTCGCATGACACATCAGCTCCATCGGCAAAAATAATGTGAAAAGTCGGCAGTTTACTGTAAACAATGAACGAACCAATTGATGCCAAGATCGAAACTTGTATCATTTAAACGGAATTTAAATTGATAATGTTTTCCATTTTGGAGTGTGACTAATCGTTTTGATTTTTTTTTTTTCATTTCAGTGTAAATTTTGTAACAAGATTTTCTCTCGACGAGAACATTTGAATAATCATGAGATGATTCACACCGGTCAATCTCCTCATAAATGTGTTTATTGTGACAAGGTGAGTGGGTGATAAACGCAGAGTTGAATGTGCTACATGCAGCTAATGACGTCACACATTGGCATTCACCTAATTGATATTTGGCTCATTCTGAAAATATTCGACTCAATCTTATCTCCGTTTTTCAGGCATTCACACGCAAAGAGCACCTAAATAACCATTTGAAGCATCATTCCCCCGATAATCCGTTGATCTGTACGGTATGCAACAAGTCGTTCTCGAGAAAAGAGTCGCTAGTCAATCATATGAGGTTTGTGTAAGAGCTCCAATTGAGTAAAACCCTTTGACACACTACTCACAATGTGTTGCTTATCCTTTTTTCAGTCGATGCCATACGGGAGAGCGTCCATATGCATGTGAAACATGTGGAAAATCATTTCCACTGAAAGGAAATTTGCTCTTTCATCAACGTAGCCATAACAAGGGTGTGAAAGCAGAACGACCGTTCCGTTGCGATCTTTGCCCAAAGGACTTCATTTCGAAAGGGCACTTAGTGAGTCATAGACGATCGCACACCGGAGAGAAGCCATTCGGCTGCAGCCAATGTGGCAAAGCATTCATTGGGAAAGGAAACCTTTTGCGACACGTTAAGAAGACACATCCGAATATCACGGATGTTCAGAGCATTAGTGAGTATTAAAAATGTGAAGAGAAGAAGCCTTCCTTCTACTAGATTTTTTATGCCATTTTTTGGTACTTCGATAAGAATTTGCATAGACAATTAAATAGCATACCAATTTCCAGTGATGCAAGCAAAAGCAAAGGCAAAGTTAGCAACCAGCTCGAGCATTGCGACGGTGAGCAATCAAACCACATCGACAACATCAATGCCACCGTCTTCGGTGCCGGCAGTCGTAACATCGGCAATGACCACCCAACCGATGCACAGTGGCCCAGCTGGTATCCATTCTGGGCCCATACAAACGGCCGCACCATCAAATCCACAACAACAATCTCAGCCTCAGCCGCACAACATCGTTGCACCGCATATTCCAATCCTAATGGATCCTCTGGTACAGAGTAACTACTTAATTAGCATCTAAATGCAGCCACAACACATAAGTAAGACATTGCTTACTCTCATTCATTTACCCGACTATTTTAATTAAACAACACTTTTTTTCGGATATAAGTAACAAACTGGTATTAATTGAAGAAAAACAAACAAACTAGAAACATTGATGCATATTATATCGACAGTCTAGAGACAAACAGATATAGAATTGTAACGCCGTTAAAAAAATGTATTGTTTGGATATTTGCAGTAACAACGATAGAAGTGATAGATATTATAATTGGGTCAACTAACTACATAATGATTTTGTGTATTGTACCTTTATTCAATTGAATTTTGATTCAATCGGTGTGTGATTTATTGAAAAACAAAATTAGCTATCCTATTTGCCGTCTTGGAGGCCAGTTCATATGGTTTTGGACATTTGCTCGAATGCATTCCAACGTGTAGCGATTTTGATATTCAAATATCCAGATATTGTGTTGATTCGTTTATATTCATCAATCAGTTTCTCTTCAGGAGAAAATCCGAAAAAAAAGTCAAAAACGAATAATTGTGCGAGGTGCTAGTTTTTTTTAAAATGAATATAAAGGAAAGGTTCGATGAACAGACTCAATTCCCGATGAGGAAAGAAGTAAACAAGAGAAGCAAAATTTCCATAACTTTGAATCAGCCTCCAATTGACAATTCGGCCGTTAAGCAAAATTGTCATTGATTTTACAAAAAAAATAATCTAAAGTTCCATAGGAATTAAAAGAGCAACTTGTTAGAATTATTTTGAACTAATCAAACAAAAAGAAAGAAAGAAAACAACAGTCACTGTGAATATATTTTTTTCCTAATTTTTTTTCCGATTCAATCGCTGAAAAATGTATTCAAACGAATTTAAGTGGAACGAAAAACTGAAATTTTTTATTTTGAATATAGAAAAACAAAATCATTTTATTTATATACAACAACAACAATGTGTGAATTTTTAACGATATATTTTTTTTCAGCTGTAAGATATTTTTTGTAGTTTTTTTTTCAATTTTTTCTTTTTGCTCTCAATCGTATTGTTATAGAAAGACTAATTTTTATTTTAACCATTACCTACACACATTATATATATTCTTATTGGAAAAGTCATTTTGTAGGCAAAAAGAAAACTTTTATTTTTTTATTTTTCTCGAAATCATAAAACAAAAACTTTGAAGTTCATATTCATATAACAAATTTCATTATCAAAAAAGAACATATGTTGATCTTGAGAAGCTGGAAGATTGATATGAGTAGTGACGTTCAATTCAATTGTGTCATATTTTGAAAGGAAATGTTAAGTAAAACCATGGTCACGATGTAATAGCAAATAATAATACTATATAGATAGATTGAATGCAGGAATCTTCCGTGAGTTTGTAGTGATTCTCCTATCTAAATCTTACTCTAATTGAATAGAAAAAAAACCAACAACCTTCTTAGAAGTATCAAAAACAAAGGGATATTCATTGTTATATTGTAAAAAAAAGGTACTAGATGGTAGCGCAGCTATTGGTTCTCTATCACACGTTTGCATTATCAATAAAACAAAACTAAATGAGAAATAAATATACGTAGTGATTTACAACATAGTTGTATGAAATATGACAGTCAATAGAAGCGCCTAGATCAAATACGATCGCGAAGATTCAATATTTTCCATATGACAAAAACAAACACATAAAATACAAGAGACGAAACAAGGGACGAAACAATGTGTCCGATTAATTTGCAAACGATCACGTAGTGCTAAATGACAAAATCAATTATATCCACTTCAGTTGCATATTTGTGTTGAGTAATTTGTATATTGGTGCTGAACATCAAAATAACATATACACTTAATCCAGAATGTTCCATTGATTATATACTATCTCTCATACGAGAACAAATTATTGTATTAAAAAAAAAAACAAATAAATTCTGTATTCTATGTTTGGATAAACTAAAATATTCATAAATGAAAAAGCAAATTGGTTTCTCTTTATTCGATTTTATTATTCATTGGTCTATCAACAACTTGGCATGTAACGAATCGATACTAACAATTTTAGGTGGAGTAAAAATGTTAAAATTGTGCTGTATTGAACAAATGCCTAATATTTTCAATTTTTGTGTATTTTTTTTCAATGATAGAAAACTCTCTTAGTTCTTAAAATATACCAAAGAGGGCGCCAACCGCTGTACGTGTACATAGGAATGTCCATAAGAAAGCACCCTCTTTGTCAAATATCTTGATATGAAGAGCAGCATAAATGCGCCGTTTATAAACAAATAAGCTTCACCCACTACTATGTCGAAGCATGCCTCGTAAAAGTAACCAAGGCTTTGCTCATCCCATGGTAGGTCATCCAGCGAATCCAAAAACAGTCCAATGCTAGAATTTGAGTTGATAATGATACAATTAATATGCCAAGTTCTAATCAAATATCGAATTTTCATTGCATTTAGAATGTTGTCGAACAGTTTGATAGGAGCATTTGGTCCCTTTCCCTTCTTATTTTCTACAGCAATGACATTAATTGTCCTTGCATCGGCCACGTTTATATTTCACAAACTACAAACAAAATCGATCGTAAGCTGTGATTGCAGTAATGGACAAAATCAACCAAGAAGTAAAATTTGAAATTTAAAAAAAATTTCAACTCATTCATAATCATTGATCAGATATTTCCCGTCAGTCGACTTCCTGATATTGGTTCTCTTATTTGGCTTTTATTAAAACGTTTAACGAAAAAAAATTATAGCATTTTTAAAAATATATATAATCAATCATGGCAATACGAACATTTTCATTTCTTGTTTGCAATTGTATAGTTCAATTTCTTTTTTGATTACCGTTACACAAATTTGCTTGGTTTACCCATATACTTCTATAGTTTTCCGCGTATTTGTATTGTATAGCAGCGTAATATGGAAAAAATTGATCTTTCCACGTCAATCAAGTGATCATCTACGTCTATTTTCTGTTCAATTCAAGATTAATTTCAGATGCGCCCAGGCATTTTGACTGCTGCTTTAAAAGTGTGGTCACTTCAATGCATGCATTTTCAAGTGATACACAAAAATAAATGTATTCATATAGATTTTATGCTTGGATGATCTAAAAAAATGAAAAAAATACGACAATTGGTTACTTTTTGTTCATTTTTATTGACTGGTCTTCGAAAAAATGTTACATGTCCATTTCAGATGGAAATGGTGAAATTGTGCTGTACAAAACTAATTACGAATATTTTCAAATCTTTTCAAATTCAATGCTACAAAAAAAACTTCATCAGAGTCATAAAAGATCATTTCGCTTGTGTCGCACAATTTCTTAATTTCAATCCATAAAAGTCCAAATTTTCCACAAAGATTCATGTTTAAGACTACTCTAACGACGTGGTGGATCTAAATTCGATTTATGCGAACTTGATTCATAATTGACGTTCCGTGACGCGCTTGAATAATGTGAGTTATGTGTTTGCATGGAGCCATACTGGCTGAATGACGAGTAATATGAGGTTGATGAGGCGACTGTCGATAGATTATGCGCTGTGGCAGACTGGCTTAAATTCAATGGGCTCGATACGGCTTGTTGTCCATATGGTGATTGCGGAATGGAATCACTTGAAATAGATCCCTTTCTTTGCGATGTTTTACTACCGTCACCCTTACCATCGGGCGTAATGTGTCTGTGGTTGATGTGTGCTTGTAAATCACGTTGTGATAAATACGTTCGTCGGCAGCCGGTGTTTCCATAACGACTTCCACCGTAGGTGCACATAAAAACTGTTCCCAAGCCCGACTGTTCGACGCGCAATACCTTCTCTTTGCATCGTGGACACGCTTTGAATGGTTCCGAACGAGCACAACGTAAACAGAACACATGTTTGCATGGTATCATTCGGCCATAAATCAAAATCGGCTTATCGCACAGATCACAGCAATGAATCATTGGGTTCAGTACTTTTTCACCGATTAACGATACTTTGTGATCCCATTTCAATCGAAGCATCGGCTCAGGCGGACCACGACTAATTGTTGTGAATGTGGGCGCTTCCAATTGTGAAATGTCCGCTTCCATGTCAACTGAATCGTAAAAAGAGTTCCAATTAAACCAAAGAAATTCGATATTTGTTTGTTTGTTGATCAACTTACTTTTCGGTGGGACGATTTCATTTTCCTTTTCCTCAATTGCTGAGTCAGCTGGTGCAACTACTGTTGGCTCTGGTTCTTGTGGTTTCTCTTCGATTGATACATCAGCATCTTCAGTCTCTGGTTGTTCAGATGATGCTTCTTCGTCCGATTCAATCACTTTAGCCTTTCGGCCTCTGCCACGACCTCTTCCTCTAGCTCGAGTTGACGTGCCACGGCCTCTCGCAGTACGACCTCTTCCACGACCCCGCTTCGTTGTGCCACTCTCTTCCGAATCCATATCCACTGTTCCACTCTTTCTCGTTTTTCTCACTTCGGGCCGAATTTTCGTAAATTTTACTCTGCAATATATATTATATATAGAAATTCTTTGAACAGCTCCACTTTCCTTTAAATGGCCGGCTATTCACTCAGTTTTGCACAATAGCAAGGAAAAATACATCCAATTGTTTATGGAATCAATATTGGGAACAGCATTCAGCACCAATTTTGATTGATGGTTATATGTATAACAAAAATAAGGCAAAGCCAATTTTTGACAAGCGGCTGTCTTGACAGCTTCAAATGGTGTTGCCAGCGTTGATGCGGTTTTACGTTGTTTTGCTTTTCCAGTTGTCATCCACGTATTGCCAACAGTCTTATAATATATATGATAATGAACTTGAAATGCGTCTCACGACTCAGACAAAATAAGCAATTGCAGATACAAATCTGTTGACCAAATGATAATAACCAGAGAATCTCATTAGGATGTAAAAAATTACACCTACCCATTATGACTATGATGATTATAAATCTTCGTAAATCGTCCGACGATGGTGATTAGCTGATAAATTAGCCGTAATGTGTCTCGGCAAATGGTATTTTAATACCGAACATTTATCCAGTCTGGTTCCAGACGATTTTTTAATCATCAAAATCGACAACAGTCCAATGCCAATCCAAATTTCTTCTGCGAATTGCATTTGTTTACCTAAAAAAAATGAACTAGAAAATCATAACAAAGTAGAAATGTAAAGAAAAAGCCGCATTCACTGTTTCATTTTTGTTGAAAATATTTCAGATTTTAATATAAATTAGAAAATAGCTTGTCTTTATAGTACATTTTTTGAGGTTTTCATTCTTAATTCTCTTAGCCTAGGGTGAAAGAAAATTGCAGAAATCTCTGGATGTATCGAACATTTTGGGCAATCAAATGAAAAGTTGAATGAAATTCGTTGTCAGAAGCGATAAAAAGAGAGCAACAAAACAGCAAGGTGTTGTTTGTTTGCTGGAAAAAAATCCAAACGAAATATATTCAACTCTGAACCCATTCGCACACTCGACACTCGTTCAATTCAAAAGAACTGTTTGGTTTTATTTCAGTACAATCGGTTTTTAATCAACATTTATTCGCCTAAATGATTTCATTTTTTTTCATTACGCTTGAACACTTCTTACAGTTGTACACATTTTACACATTAATTAAAAAAATGATTTACTCTTTAAATTATAATAAATTGATGGTACTTTCTAATGAGTTGAGTTGACGGAAATGTCAAATGCGCGTGTGTGTGGTTGTTTGTTTGATGAATTTGAATTGTGATATTCGTTTAGCTCCCAGTATTGTAAATCTGTTTAACTCTTCGTTATCATTCCATATTATTGTTATTTCCTTCCTCAAATCAAATTTCCTCATCATTTGATGCTGTTGTTGTTTTAATGTTCTACATACGCTTACTTCTATTTTAAAGATGACAATTGCTTTAGAATAGAAGTGTGCTCATGCCACCCATCTCCGATTGTTCTTTGACAAAGATTTCAAAGTATTGGTAAATAATGGTGACGGCTAACAAGATACCGGTTCCCGAACCGATGGCTCCCAAAAAATCGGCCAACACGGACAATGCACCGATGCACAAACCACCGAAGGCAGCAGCAGTTGGGATGTATCGGTTCAATTCGTGGATCATTGAGTTTTCACGGTGACCACGCATAACCATGTGTTGTTCCTTCAATTGTTTGGCAACCTGAGTGGAGTAGAATGGATGACAATTTGATTAGTATTCAATTGGGAAAAAATTTGAGAGTTTTTTTTCTTCATAAAAATGTGAAAAATACTTACATCTTTAGCTGAGCTGCCTGACACATCGATCCATGTCTTTGAGAAGAAAGCGCATGAGCCCAACATGAAGACGATGTACAACATAGCGTGGATTGGATCTTGCAAAATGTGTCCAACACTTTCTGGTGGTGACAAATAGTAGCAGAGACCACCAATTGGGTATGAACGGGCTGGACCGCCACCACCAACATCAGCCCAAACACCGAGCAAGTTGATCAAAAAGTTACCGTGGAATTTCACGGCCAACATTTGCGAAATGACGTACAAATTCGAGACAAGGGCCGATTGCAAGATAATTGGGATGTTTGATGTGTAGAACAATTTGATTGGATAGCTGCTGTATTGGCCACGGTAACGTGCTGATTTGATTGGTACATCAACACGGAATCCTTGGAAGTATATGACCACGGCAAAAACGAGCACGGTAGCCAAGAGGTTCATCAAATTTGGCAAGTTTTGACGATAGAAAGCTTCGCGCAAACCACGCACTTTGTCTTGACGTGTGGCCAACAAGTGGAACAATGCAATCACGGCACCTTCGAATTCTGTACCACGGCCAGTGTTAACGGTGGCCGGTGAGAATGCCTTCCATACAATGGTTTCGCAAATGTTTGTTGCGATAAAAAGTGAAATACCCGATCCCAAACCGTAGCCCTTTTGCAAAAGTTCATCCAAAAGCAACACAATCAAACCGGCAACGAACAATTGGATAATGATCAACAAGCAGACACCGGCTCCAATTTCCGATGGATCACCATACATGCCAGTCATTACATAAACAATGGCTTGACCGACGGTAATGACAATACCGAACAATTTTTGAGCACCATTGAACAATGCACGATCCTTTGGTGTGTCACCGACTTCAATGATTTTCGCTCCGGCCAACAATTGCATAATCAAACCGGATGTGACAATTGGTGAAATACCCAATTCCATGAGTGTACCTCTGTTCGATGCCAAAATGACACGAATCCAGTAGAATGGATCGGCCGAATCGGAGCTCATGATTCCAAACAACGGAATCTGACAGCATACCAAGAAAATGAACAGTGTTATGGCCGTCCATAGCACCTTTTCTCGGAATTGAATCTGTAAAAGACGGAAAAAATGAATGATTAGTTTTTATTTATTCCGATATTTTTTGAAGTGGTCGGTGATTGCTAAAAGAAGGAAAATCAACAACAACATCACATCAACTACATCCACGTTACAATTCACCTTTCACTTTCCATTCACTATGACAAAACCGAATTATTGTGCAGATTTTTTTTTCGCTTGCATTTTACACATTTATGCAATTTTGGGCTCTTTATACGAAGCGTTAGATTAAACGAAGGTAAATATTTTATGTAGATTATAACACGTCCAATGGATTCAATTCAACACAATCACTTTACTTTGGTTACTCTTCTTATCTCACTTGGTCTGATAGTCGTTAATTTAGCTATATTTATACATACCTTTCGCTCTGGTTTTGCAATTTCAGGCAGAATACTGCAGAATGGCTTAATTACTTCCAAAAATTTAACTGTAATTCAAATTGTAATTCTATCATTAGTACAACGATTTTTGGTCGACAAAAAAAAAACTGAAATTTCCAACAAAAAATGATTGAAAAAATGTGAGGCAAATAAATGTTGGAAAATGTTCAAATGCGATCGATTTTGATTCGACATCAATAAATTGATATTCATCGCGTTGAAATAGTTCTGCTACAGGTGATAGTGTAATTCAAAGTTGGACCGTGGTTTTGTATACGTAAGCAGTGTTAGTCGTCTTCCAATTTGGCCTATTTACGCACATACTTTCAACCGAGGAATGTGATGGAAGAGAATGAAAGAAAATTTCCATTCTCACATTTTTGGCATACTTTTTCACAGTAAAAACACTTTAATCTCAACACTTGAACATTTTTCCAAACATTTTTTCTAATTCTTTTTCAAAGTTCCGTCGAGTTTCTCAATTCAGTCGCCCATTCAATGTACTTACTTCCCATTTTGTCGGAGTTTTTTTTTCTGTCTAATACGTTTGCTTAATTTTTTTTTACAAATAAATTGCGGACAAACTAGCGAATTTAAATCGCTAACTATTCGATTTTAGTTATTTTTTTTGTGTATTTCGGTCGTTTTGACTATTGCCGAAAGAAAAAGGAGGAAAAAAAAGATTCAACTCGAACACCACTTTTACATTCGCGTTGCTTGCTGGTTCGATGTCAAAGAGAATCTGTACGAATGCATCGAAAGTATAGAGCCGTACACACACGTATTCCGAATCGTAGTGAACAAAACGTACCGGTTTCTGTCAGTGTGGGCAATACTACTCGACACGTATAACATATTTTGATCACGTGACCGATTTGTTGGAGCAATTTGGCAGTTCGGTCAGCGGCGTTAAATGAACAACAAATGTCACATCGACACAACTCTTGCGTTGTTTTATACATTTCCTTCGTACACTGTTCGATTCATTTGATGCGGTTGTTCATTCTACCGATTCGATTTTGTTGGGCAAATTAAATGGCAGGTCTTATGCAGAAGAACGTATTTTTTTGCATCAAAATCATGAATTGATTGAATTGAATAAGACTTCATTGCAAATGGAATAGGAAAAATTGGATTTGAATCAATTTTTTTCATTTTTATCGGAATTTTAATGTTTTGAGCTTGAATGATGCGCTTGAACTGGGAAACAACAGATGGCGTCATATGCACGAAATTTCACAGAACGTTGTGCAAAAGCAAAAAAATGCGTCGTTTGTTCTTGGCTACTTACTTCAAAGCCGCTTAACAGTAAACTTGAATTTGTTCGTCTCACTGAGATGTGCGTACACACGGTATAGTGCAATTGTGTTTTGTGAAAAATTGTTTTTTTTGTCGTCAAAAGGTTCTGTTTTTCATGTTCAATTGCATTCTGGTTGCATATTCAATCAATTTTGATCGAATTCGTCAAAATTTTACCGACTAAAACCGTGGTTTTTGTTTTATCGCACATGACATTTCGAACAGGTCACATTGAATAGTGCAAATTTGGTAAGTTTTCCAATTGGAAATAAGGAATTCAGAGTATATTCATTGAAACGCCAAATTTTACATTGAAATTCAAACCAAATTTCAACACTGATCATCATGATATCCATTTTTTGATTTCTCATTGAATTTCAGCCATTCACGATGTCAGGCCAGCTCCACTCTGATCGCAGACTCCAGTTTATCTATCTTTCGCTTGACATTTTTCGGCGACATACAAACGTGGAATCGTTGGCTGTTGACCATCACAAACAGCAGAAGGGAAGGCATCCACCGAATTTTGTGATAAATCGAAAAATCGAGGATTATCATAGCAAGCTGTTGCAATTGGATTTTGACTTGGAAGCCTCAGAATTGAAGCAGCTTGACTTCATTTGGCCGAATACCAACAAGAAAATGTAAGTCACTTGTTCCTGTTTGATTATTCATTCCCATCATTATGTATTATATCGTGGCATCAAAAAATGCCGATTGTTTCGTAGAAATGCCGCAATATGGTCGCTTTCCGAAGAAGACAGAGTCGATGTGCACAACAAGGCAACGAACTGTCAAAGGAAATTCCTTTACTTGCCGTTGCATGTGCTTCAAAAAGAGACAAACATCTACCAGTTGGTGCAAGCATTTGAAGAAAGTCAAGGAAACGACGTAGCTGGAGCAAATTTGGAACGACACGTAGCTCAAGTGCACAAACAATTGGCTGAAGTTGAATCATGGCCACAATTTCTAAGTGGTTTGAAGTTTCTTAGTGAAGTTTCCAACGATGATAAAGGCATGCTGTCCAAAACATCAACAGAAAGCGATTTTGAGGCACAATCCGCAAGATTGTCGCGGAAGCGCAAGGTAAATGGAAAAAAATTTGGAGTGGAAGAAAAAATCAATCATTTTCATGTAAAAGTTTTCAAAACACACTTAAAAATTTCAGGAAGGTTCAAATCAAACCGATGAAAGTGGCTCTGTGCCAGATAAGAAACCAAAAATCCACGCCAATGCTGTGAATTCAAAGATTCCAGTCAGACATGCCCATCAGGATGTGCATCAATTGAACAACGACGACACGAAGCACTCAACATCTTCGGTCGAACCGGTCACGCCGAGCACCATGAACATGAGCACCAGTCAACCGACCAGTAAAATGGTGAGTGCAGTTTTGGTATAAATTCGATACATATTCGGGGTATTTTGAAATAAATCAACTGATTTTGTCCATATACTCATTGGGATTAGGTGCAAAAAGGTTCGACAATCAAAAAGCGTGTTGTGCCCGAACCGAGCGACTTTCAACGCGAAATCATTGCAATGAGCTATGACGATTTTGTTGAAAAAACAAATGTAGCACAGCTGGTTGCAACGGATTTTGCAAGACAGTTCAATGGAACCAAGGAAATGGAACCGTCACACATGGATTGGGGTCTGAAAGAATATGATCGGCTTCGGAATTTGTACGAAAAATGGCACGTGAATTCACTGAAAAATCTCAAATTCAAAGAATGCGAATGCAAGCGGAAGAAAACATTTGCAGACAAAGCAACGCATACAGATGATGCTGAGGTGCAAGATATGGGCATTCAGTGCAGCTTATCGGATTTCAATCGGTATGAAACTGATGAATTGGAGCAACATTTACGTCAATCGAAAATGGCTTTGCCGACAGTCAATGCAATTTCTGAATCACAAATCATCATCAGTACACAGTATGATGTGCCAGAATCGCAGCGTCTAGATCAGAATGATAGTGCGTGCGTCACAGGTAATGAAATTGAATAAGCAAATTTATAAAATATGCATATTTCATTGAATGGTACGTTCGATAGATGATGTGTTCAATGTAAATGAAGCTGAGGAGGATAATCAGCCATCACAAGTCGCACCTCGCGTGGAAACACCAACGGAAAGCCCAGCTGATTCAAGCCCAGAGGCATCAGAAGTTGCCACGCAACCACTGCTCCAATCGGCCGGACTACAGTCGCCAGAGCGACGGAATCAAGATCACGATGGTGCAAACGTCACAGGTAATTGAATCGAATGAAACCTTTTCTGAATCACGCAAATGTCAATGAAAAGAAATCTGTTCGATAGACGATGTCACAGTGAATGAAACTGAGAAGGATAATCACCTATCACAAGTTGCGCCGGATACAGAATCACTAACGAAAGGCAGAGCTGATTCGAGCCCAAAGGCATCAGAAGTAGCCACGCAACCACTGTCTCAATCGGTGGCCAACAACGATGCCATCACCGTCGCGATTGAGAATAGCAATTCAACACAGAATGTGCGCGATGCTACAGCTGTTGGAATTGAAAATGTGAATGTAAATCAGACAGCCAGAGCAGAAAATCGTTCGAAACATCTGAAAGTAAGTTCCACTCATTCAAATTCGAAGACGAATCTGCGCTAAAATCTTTGTCATTTCATTCGCAGCATAAGAAAACTCCAAGGAAAAGTGCAGTTCGCTCGATTTTACGCGAAATTGGTCAACATTTTGAATCGCTACGAGCGCCTACATCAGATTTGAATCGCAAAGTTGATCTTTGCATGGCGATGGCTCGGCGTAATTAGAATAAGAAAGAAATGTTACGAAGCAATTTTGTTAAATTTTCATTCATCAATGGATCAGAATTCGTTCAAAATGCCACGTTTGGCCGAATAACACAACATATTCAATAGACGCTGGTAGCTAGTACTAGTTTTTTTATTACATTGAAAAAAATCCGTTAAATTTTGATATCAAAATACCTAAATTCATGTATTTCAAATTTCTTTCCCGTTGAAATAGTTTGATAAAAAATGATTGAATAAAATGAACAAATGAAAGAAAAACATGATTCAACGAAAATAAATAAAATAAAGACAAAAAAACACAGTAAATTCAATGGAAAATGCGCGATTTCGAAGTGAGTGCAAGTGAAAAGTCGAGAGATGGCGTTGTCTTCGCCATATTCTTCGTCTTCCACTCAACGCAATGAACTGTCAACGATTTGCGCCTTTTCTATTCCGTCGTGACAGATCAAATAAACAAAGCACTGAATACTGTTCCAAACACACGAAATTCACCGAAATTGTGAAATTGTGCGTGTGTCAACGCAATTTTTTCAAATAATTTGTGTTCTAATAATCAACCTGAAATAGTTCATGCAATTTGCATATGGTTTACAAGTAAGTAACATTCAATTTTATCATTTTTGCATGCATTTCTACGGTGTGGGGAAATTTGCTTTTTTGTCGATAAAAAGTCATTTTATTCAAATTTCGTCCGTCAATCGTCGATTTTGTTCGCAATTCCAGTGGTCAAAATGTCAATGTGTGACTCACAAATTGTGTTAGGTCGTATCGAATCTGCCCATTGGCATGCATTTGTGTACCGCAATGCAATGTAATTACATCGTGCGGAAGAATAAATCATTTTGTGGTTCCTAACTAGGCAAAAATGTGTTTTTTTTTCTCATTTTGGTCATATAGCCATCAGAATGGCTGAAAAATCGACAGAATCAAAACGGTCGAAGAAATCAACGCTTGTATTCGAGCCGGCCGACTTTCGCCGTCTTTTCAAATACCTTCCATTGAATGTGTTTCGGGAAGTTACAAATATTGAGCAGTTAATCACAGCCGAATATAAGAAAAAACACGACAACAAACTGCCACCAGTTATTCACATCAACAAAACCGCAGAGAAACATCACAAGCACATGTCCACGCTGGATGATTGGAAGGGGACGATACTCGAACAGCTCGATTTCAATTGGCCAAGTAAACCTAAAACGTATGTCATTAAACAATTGCATTGGAATTGAGGAATGAACAGAGGAAGTTTGTTTAGACTATTTAGTTAATTTTTAACCATTTTTCAACGTAGGCATGCGTCAATTTGGTCTTTGAAAAAGAACGAACAAGAAAAAGTTCATGATGATGCCACTGACCACCAGAAACAGTTCATTTACCTGCCACTGCATGTGTTTGTCGAAAACACAAATGCTAAAAAGCTGATGCACAAAGAGGCAGTGAAAGCTAAGCAAGATTTGGATCTAGTGAACAAGTACGTTCAAGGACTACACCCTCACCTTCATGTGGTTACCGGTTGGCGTCCATTTATGAAGAAACTCAAGTTCAACGAAAACCAAACCAACGATACCGAAGCAACTGGAAAAGACAATCCAACGGAATCGGTCGAAAAAAGCGACAAATCGAAAGGATCAGAACCAGTTCCGAGCACATCGAAGCAAGCGGATCAGGTTGCGACCAAATCGAAGCAGGCAAATGTTACCAAGAGGTCAAACAGTGTTAATCCGATTCCAAGCACATCGAAGCAGGCTGGTCCAACTACCAGTACGCTTGAGACGGCAGAAATCGAGAAAAGTCCACAGAAAACCGCTCAAAAAAAGAAAAACACAAATGGAAATCAGGCGCGCATCACTCGATATATGAGAAGAAGCCCGGTATCCACAAGCAATTCAAAACAAGCGGATCAGGTTGCGACCAAATCGAAGCAAGCAAACATTGACAAGAGTTTGAAGAGCGCTAATCCGATTCCAAGCACATCGAAGCAGGCTGATTCAACTACCACTACGCCGAAGACGGTGGAAATCGTGAGAAGTCCACAGAAAACAGCTCAAAACAAGGAAAACGCTGATAACAACCAGACGCCCACCACTCGGAATTTGAGAAAACGCCAGGTATTCACGACAAAATTGGCATTATTTGGACGTCTTATCCTTGAAACTAATAAAATAATTAAATTTCAGAGCGACTCGAATCATGCAGATGGTAAGCGTTCCCCAAAACGAAATGAAAGTGCCTCTTCTCCAGACACAAATGCGTCGGGCAAGAGAAAGATGGTTCAAAGCGTACGTCCCAACTGGATGCAATCCATCAGCCCAATGCAGAAGGCCAGCGAAGACGCAGGTCAATCAAGGCTCGCAAAGCGGCCAAGAACACAGCTTTTTGGGGCTATTGTACGGAAGCAAACGAATGAACTGCCAACGGAAAACATAAATATGGTTTCAAAGTCGAAAGAAGTGGTCAGCGCAGTGGTACATGCTGAAAACGATGAAAATGATTATAACGTTGAACGTCCAACCGAAGAGGCCGCGTCAATTTCTGGCGAATTGACAAATGCGCAAAAAAACCAGGTAAGAGTTGGATCGAATGTGAATTCCTCATTTCAAATCATTGACATGTTCCATTCCGATTTCCAGACAAGCTTAGAAGCGATTGACGAAATCATACCGACAAGTGGGTCAACACAAACATCATCGGAATCACGATTGGTAAGATTGACATATTGCAATGATTTCATGTTCAAATCGAATAAAATTGAATTTCCCTCTGTAGATCAAGCAAAAACCGAGAGAGTTAAATGCCGAAGATCGAGAAAGAGAACAACTTATGATCCAGCCAAGTGATTTTCAACGTGCGATTCAAGCGATGAGCTACGATGAATTTTTGACCAGAACAAACATCAAAGAGATCATTAAAAATGCCCATTTTCAAGGAGTGAACGATATTCCAGAAGAAGACATGGACATCAAACTCAAGTATTACTTTGATTTTCGAATGCAAACAAGCAATTGGCTGCGCAATGCGATCAGAAATTTGAAGTACATCGAATGCAAGTGCACGGGAATTCCCGATGAACTACGTCTCAATGAACAACAACCGACGAATAGCTTGAATGCCAATCAGTCTAGATTACCTAGAACCAGCTCAAGCAGCAGCTTAAGTCGTCGGAATGATAACAATGAACCGAGTGAGTTTCAAAAAGAAGTCATCGCAATGGATTTTGATGCATTTGTTCGTGAAACAAACATTGCGCAACTAGTTGAACAAGATTTCGACGAACAGTTCGAAGGAAAGAAAGAATTCACGTCAGCCCATCTCGAATTTGGTTTGAAGAAATACGATGAATTGAGGAAGGTTCACCGTAAATGGCATGTAAATTCACTGAAAAATCTCAAGTTCAAAGTATGCGATTGTCGACGAAATAAGACATTTGTGGACAAATCGATCCAAACCGTCGATCAACCAAAAGTTCAAGATGCGGCTGTTCAATACGACGATGAATTTCGTGAAATCGAAGAAGTCCAAGCACTGAAATCAAGACTGGCTTCGTTAGCAATTCACCAACCTACCGAACCTGAAATTGTTCATGCTCAAAATGAGATAGAGTCAAGTGACTCGAGTGAAGTTTCCAGCTCACAAGACGCTTCGATGGATAATGATCGAAGCATGCAAGGCGATGGAACACAGTCGACGTCCTCTGGAAATGTGACTGCATCCGGCCAAGAGGCAGCGCCACAATCTCAACAGATCATGTCCGTTGAGCAAGTTAAAATGTCAGAGCTCATGTTGCGCAGTCCCGTACAACAAACAGAGCAATTGAATCCAATTGAAGTAGAAAATATCAGTGGTACGATATGAAACCAAGACATTTGGATAGCAGAGGCATTTGAAATGAGCTAATTCAATTGTTTTTCTTCTTCTTTCAGATGAAGATCCGATTCTTTCTTCGACTCGCGTTGTGTCAAATGAAGTCGAAGTCGAAGAAGAACAAGAAACCGTCTACGCATCTCAATCAGTTGGTAATTCACAATTTCGTATCACTCCAATCAGTCAACTTCAAAACACAAACGTGATGGTAAAAGTAGAAGAGCTGTCATATCACTTGGGAGATGATTCGGATGTCGAATATGTGTATGTGCCAGAACAAATCATTGAAATTTCAGACCTTCTTAGCACTCAAGAACAATTCATACAAATTGATGGATACGATGAAATGAGACAAAGCTCAAATGAACGCCATTCGTTAGTTATAGTGCATACGCAAACAGAAAATCTGGTAAGTGGATGGAAGTTTTCATTCTTTTTAGTAGAAAAATGGCCAAAACATTGATTGAAACTAACGATTTCATCTTGAATTCTAGCAGCGCGCCAGTGAACAGGACGACGAACAGGCCAACGAACAGGCTAACGAGGTCAAAGATGAAATTGATGAATTAGCCCTTGGCGATGCTAATGGAGCAGCCGTTGAAGATGCTAATGCAGAGGCTAATGCCGAAGCCACACAACAGATTAGTGGCAAGTCAATTGAAGAGGACAGACAAGAGCTAATCCGAATACTGGAAGATCCGCCAACGATTGAAGATAGTGGTAAGAAACCGATTTTCAAATTATCCTTTATTCACTTGCCCATTGACTTGATTAATTCATTCACTCGTTCATTGACCTTCCACAGATGAATCGATTCACATTTCACAAATTGGAAATGCAGATTTTCAAGTGCCAAGAAATGATGCGCCACCGCGAGCGTTTGCATCTAAACGCCTACAACAAGCGCCAGCACAGACTGGTGCAGTCACCAAGAAGCGTAGAACGTCCAAAGAAGAAGATCCACTCAAAAACATTCCAGTGCCAAAGTACAATTATCGACCATTAGATTTCCATGTGCGTGATCGCTCAGAAGCGACACAAAATCAAGCAACAAACAATCGACCAGCACAAATCGAAGAATCGCAATCATCGCCAGACACTTCCAGAAACTATACGATCGATGAAAGCAGTTCAACCGATGAGACCATCAATGACGGTATGACTACTGATTCTTGTGTCGAAAGAGCAAATTTATTAAATGAAGACAATACTTTATTTCTTGACATAAACACACAACCTGTGATGAACAGTGACGTTGTCTCGTCAAGCCAAATAAATCAAACGACAATTACAAGTGCGAGCATGGTTCAACCTGAGCAAGCAGCGTCGTTATCCATCCCAGGACCATCTAGATTAAGTTTATTCCACGATCAAACCGAATTTTTGCATTACATTGATATTCAAAGTGTCTTATCGAGTTTCAAGAATGTGATATTACCGAATGGTGAGCGCAGCAACCAATTGAACATCGAAACAACACTCAAGCATCAGTGCAACGGCGGTAATCGTATCGTTGTCAATGGAAATGCCATTAAACTCATCATGAAAATGAATGACAAAGAATGGGATGCACTATGTGACATACTATCAGCTCTAGGCGATTATTATTATGATGCCAGAGGCGAAGAGCCAACAAACGATACCATTTTACATCGTGCCGTGCATTATTTATTCAAAACAGCACCGAAAATATCAACCGTTCACATTGCATACGGCGATCAAGATTTGGACACGGCTAGAGTCTTTAACAAACCAAATCATTCCAATGAAAATGTCACCGCAGCCATTGATCCGTACGTATTGGCAATGATGCAAGCCACAGCTCAAGAAAATACCAAATGATAATACATAATTAGCGCTTAGAAGCAAAATCTCAATAGTAATTTGATAAGGTTTCAATACAACTCGATAAATTAAGATTTTTTAAGATGAATAAAAGTCTGATTATTAAAATAAAGAGCGAAGTGAGGAATAAATAAAGCCCATTTTTCTGAAAAGCTAAAAGCAAATCGAAAAAGAAATTGAAATTACATTATATTATACGTTATAAAAAAAAAATCTCAGAATATATTTTGTTGTCATTTTTATAAACTGAGGGTGTTTCATTCGAAAAAAATAGACAAAATTTTCAGGAAAGGGATCATTCTTCGATTTATTTCTTCTGCTAAAGCTATTGACAGAGGCAAATTCGAGCTGGGATCGATGATTTTTGAGATTCAACATTGGATGACCTGGAATTTATTGAAAAGAATCCATGCATCAAAGGGTGAATAAGGTGAAGGTATGAACCATGCGCTAAAATTTCTCGAGACTAGTCTCAACTTAAACTCATTGGCAAGAAAATTAATCGAAACTCTTGACAAGAATCGATGGTGACCGCTTAAGCTTAAAATTTGACATGATTCAAGCATCTAAACCAGTCTCATAGGTTCTTTCGATCATTTTTTGGCATAATTGTTTCAATTTTGCATATATTTTTTTATTGAAAAAACAATTTCGTTCAATATCAATCTTTATCAAAATGTGGCCTTACGTTTTTTCTCCGCAATCACACCATGTTGAGTATACTGCAGTATTCAGAAAGCAAATCAACTGACATAAAACTTGAAAATTGCGCCACAAAAACGTATCGTGCTGCAGATGTCTCTCCATAACAAATATGAAACGTCAATACATAGACACATCGAAGCTGTCAACGACTAACTATCATTCAGTTCATTTACAAACATAGTCTAGACGAAAGATTCCGTTGATTCTATTTCATTAGGTTTGAGTTTCTTTTCCAAAATAGGTATAATCCATCGTAAGCATTGCCTATATTCAACTTTTGACAAATATTTACAAAAGTGGTCGTTTGGTAATTGATCGATTGTCATTGAATAGCACAACATTGAATAAATGTGTTCCATTCCATTGCTTCCCATTCATTCTATTCAAATGTTGTAGATTTCACTTTTGAGATAAGTAAATGGGGGCATTTACTGAACATCAGTTCATATTTTATCAAATAAAAATTTGTATTCTCCCATTGAAAATTACAGAATTATGTCAGTTCAACCAGAAGCTATTTTATTGATAAGTGGCAAGCGAAAATGTGGCAAAGACTACCTATCAGCTCGGATACTATCGAGGTGAGTGTTTTGTTTATTGTAAGATAGTTATCGTTGTGTCAAATAGATAATACTTACACATTTCAATGAATATATTTTCAGAATAGGTGAAGAGAAAGCAGAAATAATTCGCATATCTGAACCGATAAAGTTGCATTGGGCCAAGGAAAAACGATTGGATCTAACGGAATTGTTAAGCGATGGGCCATACAAAGAAAAATACCGCAAAGAAATGATTGTTTGGAGCGATAGCGTTCGTCAACGTGATCCGGGATTCTTTTGTAAAGCATCTATTGAGAAAAGTATGTGCCACTTTCGAATTTCTCCCACTCATGAAACGTAAAGTATTAACAGTGTATTGTCAACAGGTTCCAAGTCAATTGTTATTGTCAGTGATATTCGGCGAAAAACCGATATCGAATTCTTTCGCAGTCATGGATACAATATCAAAACCGTGCGAATTAATGCAAGCGAAGATGTACGCAGAAATCGTGGATGGGTGTTTGAAAGTGGTGTCGATGATGTTCAATCGGAATGTGATCTGGACGATGTTACACAATGGGACTTAGCCATCGAAAACGATGGAACACATGACGTCGATGTTGTTGTCGAAAAAATCCTAGCTTTAATCGCATAATCACATGTTTGTTCGCGGCAGATTACTCAAGACTGGTGGCGGTTCTTACCTCGTTAAGAAGCAAACAACCTTAATCACTGTAGCTAAAACAAATTAGTTGTACTCAAATCAATCACAATCGTATTTCCATTTCAAGATTTGTTTATTGTATTTCAATATTTATACTTGAATAAGTCGATTTTTTTTTTGAATTTTCACAATTTTATTACAAATAACTTGTTGTTTTTAAATTAAAATTGTATGATTAGAAAGAATTCATCAAACAACGTAATATTGAATTGTTAAATAATAAGTGGTTGATTTTCTTTTTTATTTAAAGGCTTTAAACTAATTCTAAAATGAATTGATATATATATTTTTTTTTTCTGTTTTTACTTCAACCGTTTCGATTCAAACGCGAGAAAGCCGATAGAATTTTCAGTCTAGTAGCGCAAAACAAACTCAATCTGAGATGAAATGTTTCCGGGGAAGGTGGAAAAAAAACTCAAAATCTAACAAATAACAACGAAAGAGAATGAATTTGAAAATGAATGCTAATTTACAGTTTTAACTCGATCGATTTATCGATTGTTTCTTGTTCTTATTCGAGAAAATAAAGCTTTTGGTTTTATTGAAAATAAAAATCGAAATAAATCTAATTGATTTTTCGAATCAAAATTCATTATTCAATGACAACAGAGTGTTAATTTTACATTGAGAACATCTTTTGATGTCCATTTAGAATCGGCAGATGTAGTGAAAAACATCAAAATGTTCAAAACAAAAATTGTGTTTTTTGTTTCAAAATATCGAAACTCGATAATTCAATTCGGAAATTGTTTTTTAACTGATTTTATAGTAAATCAAATCGATAAATAAAATTTATACCGATTTTTGATATTCTGCCTTATTATACAAAATAATCGATTCAAAAATGTAAAAAAAAAGAAAACAATCTGTACTAAATCGATTAAATCTGAATTTGTCGAGTTGATGTGTGAAAAATGAAAGAAAGAGAAATATACTCCTAATGCTTAAAATAGCGTTTTTTTTCTTTTTCATTAAATTATATTTGTTTTGAGCTAGTCTTATGATTCGGTTTTAGCGTCTAGCCTAACTATATCGTAATTTTTAACCATACATAATCTAGGGTGCTTGGGATAGGTCGCGGCTAAATCTTATACAGAAAATATTAATGTTTTTTGTTTTGTTTGTTTGTTTGTGTGTGATAGGATCATTTTAATGTACATATCATATTAACAACAAACAAATTAACTTGTACACTTGATACACGTATACTGACATAACGTATTATTGGACCTGGCTATCGCAGTGGTATTGAAATTCCTGCGTGCGGGTTAGTGTGAGTGTGTGTGTGAATGGGTTGCATTGCGGTTGTGGAATGAGTCAACTTGGAGAAGTTGAATGACTTGCGTGCTGTATGCACGGAATCCGTGTTGTAATTTGGCATTCATCGATCTTATCACAGTGTTAGATCGATGGAAATCAGATTGCTGGATGATAGTGAGGCAGGCACAATCGATGAGTCGATGTTCATATTCAAATCGTCTTCAGCATAGATGAATGCAGCCGATCCCGGATTATTCGACTGATTGCTGAGATACGAAAAGATTCGATTCTCTTTATCCTGTTGGATTTGCTGGAAGTCAACGGATCGATGTGTCGCTGTGTACAGTTTTGTACGTAGTATCGGTTTTCTATCTAATAAATTCGCTGCGGAATCGTATGGTGATCGTGTTGTGTTCAGTTGTAACCGTGGATCGATGATATTTTCAACGCCGCTGTGTGCAAAGCTGTCGTTAGGTACGGAACAATCAACAAACAGAAGTGTATTATGGGCTGGTGGTTGAATGTAATGCATTCGTCGGCCGACTCTTGTCGATGAACTACTCGTCTCCGATGCTTCGATAGTTTCATCGATAGAATCGGTCGTCGATTCCGCATCTGAGCACAAATCAATGATATCAATCACATCCTCTGGTTTAAAACTGATTTTTCGTCGTTTCACCTTCTGTTGTGTTTTAAGATTCTCAATTTCCTTGTGTGACAGCCGTTGTACCGTAATATGCAGTGGCTTGCAGCGGGTCTGTTGCAATTGAATCCGTTCCAGTTGTGCAACAGCTTCGTTGCGTGCTTTCGTTGATAATTGTCGCCGTGGGAATTTATAGGAATGAAAATGTTTTGTATTACTTCGGAACGTGCTGATGTTATAAGTCATGGGTTTTTTATCCAAAAACTTTGGTCGATTACTGCCGTCTGGAGCGAGTGGTGGTGCCGCACAAAATCGCTCGTATCGTTCGACGCGTTCACGAATATAGTCATCGGTAATGGGAGTATTTGATTGAGCAATAAGCCGCTGTCCAGCCGGTGATGTGATTGGTATTTGACTTTTTAGCAATGCCATTACACCCGGTGCTCGTCGCGGCACTCTCGGTTTCACTTTTTTATCTGTCATCGCATCCATATCCAGCCCAACCGACACACAACTATTTTTATTACTAAAAATGCTGTTGTTATTATTGCTGCCCAGTGACGATGCGGTTTGTGAGGTTCGTTTGTGCGGTGATAACGCTTTGATCAACGGCTTCTTTTCATCCAATGGAATGTTGCTGCACAGTTGAAAATGTTGTAGGAAACTATTTTGCTGCGTTGATTTATCCTCGGGCGTTGATGGTTCCTCTTCACCGCAGAATATGACATCATCGTCATCCGATTCGGATGCCATATTATCGCTAGCACAAATCTTTTCATGTTCCTGCAGGAAAAAAAGTGAAACAGATTTTCGTTAGAACAATATTCAAATGGATATCGACCGTTGAATGACAAATAATGTCCACTTACTTGGTATGCGTCCAAAGAGTAAAGTTCAGCCTCGCAATTATCACATAGATAAATATCAAACAATGACTGTTCGACCATTTGTTGAGGTTCCCCTGATTGTGAGTTTTGCATTCGAGGCATCAATGTCTTTTTGTTGTTTATGCGCGTATTATCGTATTGCTGCACCCAACGAAACGAAGAATAAAACGAAAAAAAATGTAAACAAAACGTTATTAGAAATAGGATCAACATTGACAAGTATGTAAGAATATTTTACAAAAAATTCATTCAAAAAATCACGACAAAAAGAGAGAATGTGTCCAACATTTACGACGCACAAAACCGAATTGAATGATCTTGTGGAAAATTATGTGTGTCCACTGAGTCACTGGCGTTCGGATGTGTTCGCTTTCTACGCAACTTAAAAATGTAAATAAACACATGCACAACCCAAGCAGATTCGGATATACTACGTTCAAACACACTCCTTGACTCTTGCTTTATTATTATATTCTGGATATGCCGTACAGCGTTGTTGTTTACCAACATGTGGACAGAGCGCAGATACAAAGACCAAATTATGTTGTGAGTTTATACTTTTCACGCGCGTTTCGAGAGCGCAACATAAGTGCACTTGACGACACTTTTTTCCTATGAAACACTGTACTTCGAGAGCGTTGTGTTGAACTGAAATCGGATACGTCCATGTATCCATGTCATTGAATGCATTGAAAAAGCGGTTATACCATTTGAAAATGGAGTCGTTTCTCTTTAAAACGAGATAATGGGAGGGTTTTCTAAGATGAGGACAAATTTCAATGAATTTTCATTGAGTAGAAAAAGAATTGCATGGCATCATTTTAACAAAGAGATTAAAACACTTTATTCTGCATGATCAATTCATACTTCTAGATTCATCCCATTAAATTATGTATTTTATGATGGCTTATTAATTTATCCGTTTTTATTTCCTTTCATATCCCGTGATGAAAGGAAGAAGACAAAAAGATTCAAAAAATGCCAGTGATTTCAATAGTCTCCAATGACGAGGATCACATAACAAAACACCGATAAAAAAAATTTTTTGTTCTGACTAGAATAAATCCCTATATAAATTCATAAAATCATCATAAATCTATATTCTATACGCAGCCTCTGTATAGGAAATAAAGGAAGGAATCGAAGCGTTAAAAGCTACGTTTATCGTACATTTCGTTGTCTATTTTGTGCGAATCTTCGTCATTCATATACTCACACTCATACATAGCAACCGATACTCGAAAGGTATCGAAATCGTAAATAGATGTCTACCGAGATTGCACAGAAATAGAACCAAGAACAACAGTAGAAGAAGTGTAAGAATAAATACTATGATTTTGTATGGAAGAATAAGAAAAAAACCGAATGAAGCGCATGAGAGATAGATATGTTTTGCAATAAACAATTTGTTTCTCGTGCAGTACGGTTCATAGCCCGTATGGCTTTTAAATAACGCGGGTTCTATGTATATACATATATAGTTGTGGGATTGTGGTTGTTGAAGCGAAAAACCAATAAGTGTTAAATTCGAAATCGAAATTTCTCTGCACACAGCCACACAACTTGCGGCACTTTGGTTGGGAAAATTTTTCACTCGAAGGTATAAATGGAGTGATTGAATTTCAATGAAAATTTGTCGTTATCATTGCCAATGAATTTATGTTAATAAAATGGGCATTTCCATAAGGAAGATGTAAGAGTAGCCTTATACAAGCATTAAGTTTATCACGACCTATTATTTGAATAGAGCCATTCAAATTCGATTTGTGTTTACATTTTATGCTGACTTCTCTCTCTCTCTCTCCACTTATGCCGTTGTTTATTCACTTAACTCACCATGTTTTCATTACGAAAAGTCACCAGTAGCTTGTTGCTGACTCGATCAAACAGTGATGTCGTCGAGTTGTAGTTGTTGATGAATCGCAAACTTTCCGGTGTGTATGCGGATAGATTTTCACAGAATCGCAGCAGAAAAACGCTCTTGTGAAATTGATAGCAAATTGCGACAATTTCCTTCAGTTTGGTGAGCCAGTCGTCAGTGAAATTGGCCGGTTTTCGCAGTGGTATGGTGAACGATACATCTTCTGGCCACCATTCAGGCTCACAGCTACTGTCCAACACGGGTGATTGAATATCGCCTAATGAACACTGCACCATAAATGGGATGAACTTTTCCAACTGTGATTCGTTGATCTTGTCCAATGACGTTGGATAACCGCCGGCAAACAGCAACGGCAAATTCGAGACCATATTTTCATTTTCGTCATTCTCTCCAAATCGACGAAAAATATCGGCTGGCATTGTGATCAATTCGTTATTCGCAGCACTCAACACAGCTTTGAGAT